GTTTGGTTTAAGATGTGGTGAGGGAACAGAACAGAAAGTACTGCAGCTGGAGTGAAAGGAGGGGTATATTCACTATAATAAACATGTAAAGGGAAATTAACTAAACAGTTGGACAGATCTACCCAAAGAAAACCTAAAATCCTAAACAAAAATCAAAGTCCTAATATATGGAAATGTAAACAATAGAACATAAATCATAATAAAAAGTGTCAAGACAAAATAGTTGATAAATAGTGGTCCTGTTTCAGGTTGTCTTAACTGAGTTTCAGATCTCTGTAGCCCATACAGATTTTCACTGGGCTGCTTCTCTGATTAACGTTCACCTTACACATTCTGTCAAAGATGGTCAGCGCCAGGAAATATTGTTGTAGAACCCCTGCTGCTCTAAATTGCTCTACAGCTTCATCCGTCGTCTTTATTGGTCTTCAGATTGATATAATTTATATAAACAGCAACCTGAAGACTGTTATTCATATAAAGTCCTTATTGTTTCCAAGGCTTTTGTACAATCCCCAAATAAACTTTGTGGGTAAAAACAAGGTTTGTTTTTAACTCCTAAACCTGCTAGGATTTTTTTTGCTTCAAAAAAAAATCATACAATTAAACAAGTTATCTTAAATGTATTTACTTCAGTCAAACATGTTTATGTAGTTATGTGTAATTTAGATGTACTTTGACAAGAGAAGCAGATGGAGACAATGGGAAAATGCAATTGGCTTTCTAGGAAAACTAAAGAATGCGGTCCCTCCCCTATCCTGCCTTGTCTTTGTTTGAGCGATGTACTGGCCACTCTTTGCTTTTACAATGATTACACCAGTGTTCGAGTTTTGTAGAGCTCTTCCTGTTGACCATGTCCTCACTGATTAACTTTGCATGTACGTGAGGAGCTCAGGGATTGAAGAATTAGATGCCAGTCTCCATTTTTAGAAAGCTATTGATAGCGTTTTCAGCTTTGAGTCAATAATTGTTTCTTTAGCTGTCCGACATTATTGAGCAGCTGCTCCTAACAAAGCTGACCCTCAGGAGGACAGGACAGTCCATCCACTGATCAACTAAAATGAACAAAAGCTTAGAAGATAAATTTAATTTACCTTCTTGACTAATGGGTCCTGTCTGCGGGCATGTAAAATAAAACCACATAAAGTCATCTTCCAAAAAACTAATTTTGGTTTCAGCCTATACTTTTTTCCATTGTATTAATGTCCTTCTGTCAGTAAAGCATTGATTTTTTTCTATATGTATTTCATTGTGTAATCAGATGGAGCCAGCACACAGAATAAATGTACATTGAATTGAGATAGAGAAGCACAAGAAAAGAAAAAAAACAGTATTATTGACTATTAAAGATATTGGAGACAGTATTGTTTTAAAGGGATCGGAAATGTTGATAGATTCATTTATTTAGCAAATATTGTGATCTGGTTGCTCTAAAGAGAAGTGACACAGAATCACACTGGCAAACTGCCAACTATATTAGATGATGTATTTTGGTTCTGGTAAAAAAAAGAGATGTTTAGCATGACTTTCTTCTAAGATAACTAAGGAACTTTTGCAACTTATTTGAACAAGGGATCTGTACCCATCTTTACAATTGTAACCTAAAATAATCTTTAGAATTGTAACAAAAATAAAGAGTCATACTTGCATTTTATATATTCACTTATATATGCAAAAGGCTTAATTCAGGCGCTCTTATTAAGAATGGGGCTTTGTCTTTATGACATTCAGAATCAAGAGACTGGCCCCTCAAACCCTCATGAAAAAATGAATCACTCTCTGTGAAACTTGGCCTTTCCTTTCTACAATATATTCCAAAGTAAATTGTTAGTGATATAATAACTTAATGAAAGTCACTGAAAATAACAAAAAGTCACTGATAAAGGGGAAGGGCAAATGCATTAACTGAGAGGGGTCAATGAATGCTGAGGCACATACAGAATATTCCAATGGTTAAAAGATCTCTGCAGAGTGGAAGAGGAATGGTGGCCTAGTGGTTAGAGCAGAGTGCATGTGTTTTGAGAAGGCTTGAAGTATCTGGTTCAAACCTTACGGACACTGGCACTTCAACTCCCAGAGCAAAACTCTTTGCCCCTGGGTATTCTCAATGCTCTTTCTTATTACTTTTTTAATCGAGTGATCAAAAGCACAATACAAAAAAGAAATAGTGTACAAGACATATGTAAGGAAAGGGTACAAGAATACACTTTAGAATATAAGAACATATATACGGAGAACAAGTGTAGTTAGAGTAAAAGAGTGGGAAAAAAAACTAAATCACACATTTTAAAATAAATAACTAGACATGTCATATATATATATATATATATATATATATATATATATATATATATATATATATATATATATATATATATATATATATATATATATATATATATATATATATATATATATATTTCCCTGTAGGTTTTTAAGTTAACAATGTTTTAATAAAGAAGTATATTTTGAAATCCTCAATAACCACCCCTCCTTAAGCTGCCACCTTATAATGTTTGAGGTGTTTCACTGCTCAGTGATCACAGACTCTATGTTGTCTAAAGCTTAAATGCCTCTGGTAGGGTCTCCCATGGCAAAATGTCTCTGGATGATGGATCAGACAAAGAGAGGTTCAAAAAGCCTTTGTGATGATGAAAGAAATTGGTGCATGCAACATTACCAAGTATGACAGAGCTGGGACCTCCACCTGGAGCCGGGTCTGGGGTTGGGGTTAATTGCTAACTGCCCAGGGGTTGTGTCTTTCCTCGTTGTATTTGGCTGCGCCGAGCCCAAATAAGGGACATGAATGGGTTCTGACTGTCCCTTCAAACTATTGGCTGAGTGGTGTGGAGTAGTACCAGGCCTTCTTAGTGTCCCTGGTGGGCATAGTAGAGAACGACCCAGCCTATGGACGACTGTTTCCAGCAGTCTGTAAGCAACTGTCTGCAGCATCTTATGGACAACTGTCTCCAGCATTCTATTAGCGATTGTCTCCAGCAGCCTATAAGCAACTGTCTCCAGCATTCTATGGGCGACTGTCTCCAGCAGTCTATAGGTGACTGTCTTCAGCAGTCTATGGGTGACTGTCTCCAGCAGTCTATTGGTGACTGTCTCCAGCAGTCTATGGGCGACTGTCTCCAGCAGTCTATGGGCGACTGTCTCCAGCAGTCTATTGGTGACTGTCTCCAGCAGTCTATTGGCGACTGTCTCCAGCAGTCTATGGGCGACTGTCTCCAGCAGTCTATAGGCGACTGTCTCAGCAGTCTATTGGCGACTGTCTCCAGCAGTCTATTGGTGACTGTCTTCGGCAGTCTATGGGTGACTGTCTCCAGCAGTCTATGGGCGACTGTCTCCAGCAGTCTATAGGCGACTGTCTCCAGCAGTCTATAGGCGACTGTCTCCAGCAGTCTATGGGCGACTGTCTCCAGCAGTCTATGGGCGACTGTCTCAGCAGTCTATGGGCGACTGTCTCCAGCAGTCTATGGGCGACTGTCTCCAGCAGTCTATGGGCGACTGTCTCCAGCAGTCTATTGGCGACTGTCTCCAGCAGTCTATGGGCGACTGTCTCCGGCAGTCTATAGGCGACTGTCTCAGCAGTCTATGGGCAACTGTCTCCAGCAGTCTATGGGCAACTGTCTCCAGCAGTCTATGAGCAACTGTTTCCAGCAGTCTGTAAGCGGCTGTCTCCAGCAGTCTATAGGCGTCTGTCTCCAGCAGTCTATGGGCGACTGTCTCCAGCAGTCAAAGAGCGAGAGGCAGGATACACCTTAGAGAAGTTAGAAGTCTATTGCAAGTATATGTCCCATTGATTTATATTTAATTCTGGTGAGAAAAATGTGAGGTATTTAAAGGTGAAAGAGAGATCGTGATTAATGGTTGTACTATGGCTATGCATTTTTTATTATATTGTAATTCAATATTTATCAAAATCACATTGCAAGGCATAGGAGCTGCATCCTCTCTGTTATGTCTTCCTTTTTTCTTCAAACACTAGATGGAGCAATGGATTTCAGGTAATACACTCTACCTAAGTCCACATAGATGAACACTTAGCTGAAGACTAGATCTATGCTGCATTGGGAGCAAGATGAAAGATTGCTATTTAGAAATGGGACACAATGCTCTCATACCCATCAAGGAGAACATGCGATTGAGGTACATATAGCCAGACCTGTGGGTATTGGGACAGGGCCGTGTGGCTTTGAGATCAGAGTAAAAATCAGGCTTGATTGAATGAGTTTCCATACCTGACCAACAAGTGCCATATAATACAGCAGCTGCAGTGATGAAAAAGTGTGTTGCCACTGGACAACAGAGTAGTGGAGAGATGATAGCTCTTTGGGGAGTGGCGGCCTAGTGGTTAGGGCATTGGCTTGGAATCCTGTGGTTCAGACTACAAGCCCCACTCCCATCGACTGCCTCTCTGGGTCCCTGAGCAAGACCCTTAACCCCCTTAACGCTGGTCCCCGGGCGGTGGCGCTGGTCCCCGAGGTAATTTCATTGCTCTGTACTTGTGACAATGACAGGACAATAAAAAACACTGGAGGAAAAAGAAAAATAGCTCTTGCCAGGAGAGCAGCACTTCACTAAGGTTTTGGTGTGTGGATCCTATGGAGTTCTTGATGGCTGTTTAGTTTCAGTGAAAACAACTCTCAATGATTTAGCATATCAAGACATTTTAGATAATTTCATACCCCAAGCTTAGTGGGAGCAGTTTGGGGAGGGGCCCTTACAGTTAAAACTTGATTGTGCACCTGTAAAAAAAAGTTCAGTTTTTATTTTAAAGCAAAAAAAAGAAAAAGAAAAAAAGAAAAAAACAACACAAAAAATAAATTCATATAAATTCAAGAATTTTTGTGTAGAACTGTGGAACTTTTATTTGCTTATATATGTTTAGATACGTTTAATAATGACTGCTTTTACTCTGTAAACATATAAGTGTAATAAAATCAAGGACAAAACTAAATTCGAAAAAATATAGAGGCTCAAATACAGGAACAAACTAAGCTATAAGTTCAAGTTTATTAGCTTGTAAGTTGTGACAAATTACAAAAAAAAGTTTTGTTGATCATGAGTTTCTAGGGAGATATCTTGAAATAACAGCAGGAACTAGTTTGGGGATTCCTGCTGCTAACAAAGCTCCAAATGCTGTCTTCTGCAATTAGATACGTTTTACTGAGGGAAAAACTCCACAAATCAAGACTTCCAAAGTTCTGACCCATGCAATGAAATGTGATTTTCCTTTTTTTTTTTTTTTATTTTACAGTTGTGCTAGCATGACAGTTTTGAAGCATGGCTTTGGCGTATTACTCGTTGCTTTGTTTCAAACAATATTAATATTGAAGCTGACAATCAAAGCTCTTTACTTGAAAAAAATAAAACTTGGACTTAAAGTGGTGAAAACTTTTCCATTTAAATAATGATGGTGTCCAGTTATCAGCTGCAAAACGTGATATAATGATAAAGTGTTACATTGGGAAATATCACAGAGCTCTGATTATTTTGCACAAACAGCAACAGAAGTGCAGCACAAAACAAAACAAATAGGACCTGAGAGGACTTGCCAAAGTGTTTATGTCTGTGCTAATTAGGGGAAGGATCTAAGGAGAGGGAAATGTCGTGATGAGGTCGTGGCCCTCTGGAGGTCTCATTCTGGCTCGAGCGTGAATCTCACAGTACAGCTGACCTTCAACGAAGAAATAGCCTTTCTGTTTCAGGTTGACTTCACAGTCAGCACACACAAAGCAACCAGGGTGGCGAAATTTGTCTCTGGCTTTCACCACTGTCCCACTGTAGCAACGACAATAAAGAGGCGGTAATTAACAAAAACAACTTTTCTCAGATAAACATAAATAATCTTTGATTTTATGCACTTCAATTGACTAATTCAACCCACTGTTATAAGTAATAAGTTAATTTAGTATACTTTCTTTTCGGCTTTCCATAAATTTCCACTTTTTTATGTTTAAATCCAGTGTTCAATTGTTGAGCTGAACTTTTTTTATTGAGTCCAGCAGAGGAGAATGCAGAGACTATGAGAATGAATTTGTTTCTCAATAAGCTAGAAAAAGAAAAAGTTATACTTATTTAAGTATATGTTAGAAACATGTATTTAAATATGTACTTGTAATATGCCATTTCAAAACAAATACAATAATAATAAAAAGTAAAATCTAGAAAACAATTTAGCATTTGCCAGTGTCTGACTGTGATTCTGGGTGGGTGACAGAATAGCTTGAAAACAGAGAAGCAAAATAAAATGCTTTACAATTACAGTCAACTTACCACTTTAACATTTAAACTATTCCTGGTGCAAAATTAACGAAATGCTTTTTTTTTCTTCAAGATTTTAATTCTCTTATTTATTTCAGCTGTTATTTATCAAGATAGTTAAACATCAATGTCGTTTTTTTTTTTTTTTTTATTGACCTGCTAGCGAACAAGTAACTCAGTAACTTTTACTTAAAATAAAATTTTGCTTAGGGAATTTTTGTTTTTAATTGCTTAACATTTTACACCAGTAACTTTACTTGTATATGAGTAAAGTTTTGTTTGTTTTTTTTAAGCTATTTTGCTTTTTTCTTTGTACCAAAATTTCTATTAAAACTGTTTTCACTTTTTTATAGCAACAAGCACTGTGCAGAAATGATTTGATGCTGTGACATGTCAATAATCTAGGGGGGGTACCTAAGGGGGCCCAATCACATTTCAGGGGCCTCAAGTGACCACTGTTCCCCATCTAGCTCTGTCCCTGCCAGTGTCTCACCATTACTTCTGGTGTATCAAGCTTGGCTGATGATTACCCTAAATAATATACCCTAACTTCACAAGGACCTCCACAAATTTGATTCAAAGCTTATTTTATGAGGAACGCTGCAGACTGCAGAACACTAAAAGATGCATCCATTTAACAAACACAATCGGAAATTAAAAGAATTGATCAAAGTTATATTGTTTTAAAATATATGATTATTATAAGTATTCTAATAAACATTATCTAACTTGTAATTTTATAAAAATAACACAGAAAGATTAGCAGGAAATATTGAAAATAGGTTGCAAAATAAAATAAAAAATATTCTCTAGGTGATTTGCTGGCAGCGTATTATGTTTTGAAATCAAGTATGAAACAAGTATGAAAATATTGTCCTTGGTTTAAAACTTTTGCAGTAAAATAACCTAATTATTATTTTTAAATCAAAAGCAGTGCACATAAGCAATAGCAATAATCACTGAAAATGTATATCATTGTCTTTCTATACAAGCTAATACTGGGTTGACATAGATATAGAGCTGATCCTTATTGCTTGTGCTGTCACAGGTCAGGCCTTAATGACAACCACAGGTGATTTGATCTGTTTGTACTCACACAATCCCATTCCCACACTTGTCGCAGACGGGCAGCTTATGCAGGTTTCCTGTAGGCGGAGGGGGTTTGGTCGTGGGGGCTTTCACTGTGCGAGTCACAATGGGTCTAGTGCCTGGATGCATGAGACAGAACCTCTCAGCAAAACAAGCCTGTGACTAAATCACATAAATTAAAACAAAACACTTGAGTCATATATGGCAGGAACACTTGAGGGGCAGGGACACAAAATAAGCCCCTTGAATCCTAATTGATGCTTCCTTTGAGCCTCGAACCATACTTCATACTTAAACTCAACCTGGATGTTCCTTTTTACACAGCCAAGGAAACACAGAAGGAAGTGCTTGTGTATTGATATAATATCCTACTTTAAGAACACCGTGTTTGATTAGGGGAACACGTTTGATTGTGTCTCAGTGACAGATGAGCTTAGCGTTTAAGGTACACACTTTGACATTATCCTGTAACAGTTAAAATAGTATTATTGCTCTGTGATACAGAATGGAAATTGGTGGGAAAAAAAACATTGAAGTGATTAAAGGGAAAGATTATCTCACCATCACTGTCTATAAACTCCTGCAGGGCTTTAAATGATCCAGACTGCCGAGGCTCCTGTGGGTCATCCTGGTCTTTCTGTAACATTCGGTACACATCAGATTCCTCGATGCTGGTCAGAGCTCTGGGACTGAGCAGTACATGAAGACACAATTAAATTACAAAACAGAAAGAATGAGGCACAAATATAAACCCTAATGTCCTAAATGAAGAACAGAAAGGATAGATTCTTAATGCCTGAAGAAGCAAACAAAGTTAAAGCACAATGCATTGCAGTAGATGTCAAGTTACGACTTAAGAAAACTATGGTGTGTCGTGATTTATGTCTCATCCAAAGGTTTAAAAGACTCCTTACTATCTGCTGTTTCAGAGTTAAAGGCTGCATTTCAAATAATCAGATGACATTCACATAAAGTAAAGCATTACCTAAAATAAGAGGAACCAATATTGGAAAGCTAGAGGATTAATTTATTGCCCCCGGATGGGAGGAATATTAACAAAGTGACTCATATCAACTAAGCCGATAAGAATAACACAAGAAAGGTTTATAATCCTAACAAAACAAACAAAAAAAATCCCTACACCAGGTTAAAAAAAGAAAAAAAGAAAGTGGAAATCTTTGTTTTTTTTGGTTTTTGTTCAGGTCATCAAAATGCAGTTTGGCCTTAAAGGAATAGTACACCCAAAACATGATTAGCCTTCATTTTCTACTCACCCCCATGCTGATCAACACTCTGGAGTACTTTTTTGATATCTCAAATGCATCTGGAGATCTGGGAGGCTTCTTGCTGTCTGCTGACATTCAAATAATGGAGGTCTATGGTGACCGAGACAGAAAGGTCCATAAAAGTCCACAAAAACGTGTCAATATTCCTCCATACTGCTCGTCCAATGTATTCCAAGTGTCCTGAGTGGGTACCATCCAGAATTTACTCGAAACGAAGTCATTTAGAATGTTTTTAGAGCATAAACAGTAGTGTACAGTATTTCCTAAAAGCACGTTCACGAGTCTACGGAAACCGCGGCAGACCAAACCAGATGAAAGTGCACATTCAGCTCGGCAAAGAACTCATGCTCTTCCTCAACACTGAAGTCCTCAGACATTTTTCTTTTGTTGTTTCTTTCTTTGCACAGGTAAACAGCACATTTCTTCTTCTACGCTTGCATTATTGGCAGAGCAGACACTGAATGCGCACTTTCATCTGGTTTGGTCTGCCGGCTTCCATAGCGTCCTGAACAATCTGGCGCGCGCTTTTAAGAAAATCCTATGCACTACTGTTTATGCTCTAAAAACATTCTAAATGACTTCGTTTCGAGTAAATTCTGAATGCTACCCACTCAGGACAATTGGAATACATTGGACGAGCAGTATGGAGGAATATTGACACGTTTTTGTGGACTTTTATGGACCTTTCTGTCTCGGGCACCGTAGACCTCCATTATTTGAATGTCAGCAGACAGCAAGAAGCCTCCCAGATCTCCAGATGCATTTGAGATATCAAAAAAGTACTCCAGAGTGTTGTTCAGCATGGGGGTGAGTAGAAAATGAAGGCTAATCATGTTTTGGGTGTACTATTCCTTGGTGGCACCAAAGCCGAGAGGTTTCAATACTGAAACTACAGATTCACTCGGTCTATGTTTACAGTGCTGGCAAATGTCACACAGATCTGACTTTATTATATGTAATGCATATCCGACTTTTGAGAACTCTAATTTTGATCTTTTCACTTCCAAAAACATCCAAATGGTGTCACTTCTATATATTTTCATCTTGTCGTCTTCTCTTTGCCTAGTCATGATATGGTCATAATATTGTCGGCTCTCGTTAAACAACTTAAAATAACACAGAGATGCTGAGATCGGTTATTATTTTCATAAACAGTGAACTGCAGTGTGATGTCTACACCGTCCTTCTGTGCATGCAGGTCCTGTTGGGGCAGTGAATGTTTAGACTGGAGTATGATGGTCGCCACATTTAGGCCGTAGTTTGAACAACCAAGCAGAAAAAATGTCAGTTTCAGTGAGAAACTGCAAATGAACATCAAGATCTGCAGTGTGAATGCAGCCTTAGATCCACTTCCAAAGCTTTCATTTATACATACTATTTTCATTGTTTATTACCTCTGGTTAATTTTGTTTTAAAGAATAAATTCAGTCTTTGAATGAATCTTAGGCATGTAAGTTTAATATAAACCCAATCTACAGTTTAAGTCATCTCTGTGACACAAGCACTGTTTTATAAATCAAAGTTAAACAAAGGTCCAAATGATTTTTAGAATCTGAGGTGTGCTATCATCAATTAAAATAAAATAGGACAGATGAATCTTAGCTAAAAAATCAAGGTTAGAATTTCTTTTCACCATTTTAAACTGAATGTTTAGAAACATTCCAAAAGTCAAAACTGCATCCTTGAGAAGGCGATAAATTTTCGTTGGGCTCTTAAATACAGTTGCAGACAAATTACAGTTGTTAAACTGTAACTTTACCTGTTAATATAATTTAAAAGTACAAGGGTCCCCTCCAAGGATGAAAAATGAATGCAATATGAGGTCAGTCAGGAAATTCAAGCTAAATATTAAGATTGAGATATGTCCCTTTTGATGGCTCCATGTGTCACATTTTGGATCATCGGACCCAGGTGCAGAGAACTTACAGAAAAATACAAAAAATGAATTAAATAACATTAATGCTGACATTAGTTTAAAGCTTGAGCTTGTTTTTGTTTTGCAGCTGTTGTGCTGCATTTGGCATGGATAACCTTCTATTACTGTAGGTTATGGTAAAGTCTGAGGGCTACCAAAACACTGCCTTCTTTCAGGAAGCATAGGCTTAATCTCAGGTCATGGATCATTTAACAGGGTAATGACTGGATATATGGAGCTAAAAGCTCCTAAAAAAGGCACAGAATACATTGGAATGTTTTTCAATGGCTCTGCATGAGATATTAATCTGACTGAGCTCAAACTCAGGGATCTACAAATGCAGCATAGAGAGGCTACCCTTTAAACTTGAGACGGGTTGGTCTGTCAATTTACAAAGTGACTGTCAGACTATCTATATGTGTAATTAAAAGCAGCATCTAGTCTGTGTTGAATATTGCATTTAAAATAAGTCATTTCATTAGACATTTTGTCAGTTGTTTCACACCTGGTAGTTTTTCTATTTGAGTGGGAAAAGGTTCAGTGAGTAGTGACCACCTCTCAGGTTTTTGATGAACCAGGCCCCGGATCTGACCCTCCATGGCGTCCTGGATGTTGCCTGAGGAGTACAGGCCGATAGGAGTGTTATAGGACGTGGTGACCACCTGACGCCTGTCATCCAAGTTTGCTGCTGCCACAAACGGCTGGGCCTTTCGGTTGTGAGCAGTGCCGATGGGTTTATATTCCTGGAGAAATGAAAAAAAAAAATCAATATAGAATTTTCTCAATGATGAAATGGAAGATGGGTAATATTTTTTACAAACCTGTGGTTGTGACTCCAGGTTAACTTTAAATGGATGAGCTCTTCCATCCTCCACAATCCGTGGGGACCACAGCCTGGAGTCATTCCTGGAAATTATACACAAAACTGCCCAGATAAACACATATTCTAATAATCTGTTGGAGAAAACTATTTTAAAAGCAATGAAATGTTCTATTTGATTTAAATATTTTGTATATATATATTTTTTTCTTTAGCTATATTTTTTTAACATTAACACACTGCACTAGGAATTTAGACATATACGAATTAAATCATTACTTAGCTTAATATTGCAGCATAATAAGAAGAAATTACTAAATGTAATCAGTAAATCAATATAGCATATTTACTTTTTGTTGCTCTAACCTGATGGAATAATGCCATCAAATGTATCCTTCAGATTTTCAGTTCATAACCTGTCATAAAAATTAAACTACTGTCTTTTAAGGACATTTACACCTTAAAAAGACTTGTTTCCTGATTTAATTCAGTTTATCTTTATGGCCCTAACAAAAAAAAAGCAATCTTAGAGCACAATGCAGAGCTGGTAAGCAAGGTAATTTCATTTTATATTGTAATTAAATACCTTCATAAAAGCTGTTTTACCTCTCCACAGGTAGTACAACAGTGTATTTAATGTGTTTAAATAATAATAATGGATGTTTCTTTATTGTTTGTGTCACCTTTCCACAGTGAGGCAGAGCTGGTGGTAGCATTCCTTGATCTTGCTCTGTGCCTCACAGTGCAGCATGTCTGCAGCTGGGACTCCTTCGATGGCCAGGATGATGTCACCAGCACACAAGTTGGCACCAGATGCCTTACTGCCAGGAGTGATCTGGATGGGACCAGAGTTAGCACCGTATGTTTTTGACTTCTTTGTTGTTTATTTTTTTTACATTGCAACTTATTCAGGGGGACTGAGAAAATAGCATGGAGGGACAGGTTGCTTTGCACTAAAAGGAGCAAATTTACTTTACAATATTGAAAAATTGGTTAAGCTCAAAGGTATTCAATAACCCTGGAAAAATGTGATTTAAAATCATTTTCATTCAGCTAATAAAAAAAAGCTAAGAAATTAGATGGAAATCTCTCAGAAATAAATGTATAAACATTCATTGTTTAAATAAAGACAGAATGTATAAAAGATCTACGATCAACATGAAATGTAAATGTTAAACTTTTAAAGATAATAACAAATAATACAATATAAAAAACTTTAGTTTTAATAATATATGTCCTCCATTTAACTGTATAATCAATTAGTTATAAATCAGTTCGCCTCTGCTTTTATGACCACTGCTCTATACACAATGACTGCTGTGGCTCCCCCTGTTTGCCCAGATGATGCAGTTTCCTCCTTCAACTCCATCTGTGCTGATATGCTGGACTGCATTGCACCGTTTAGATATAACTCAACCAAAATCAAACCAGACCCTTGGCTCAATGATACCACCCAAGCTCTGAGAAAGCGCAGGTTCAGGAAAGACAAACTCCAGATGTCTGTGGAGATCTTGAGGGAGAGCCTTGCCAGCTTCCAAAAGGCAGTCAGGGAGGGTAAATGCCAAAATCTTTCAAATATTGTCTCCTCTAACTCTAGCAACCCCAAGGTGCTATTTAACATCATACTGTCTATGATTAGTCCATCTGGCAGTGTGCTGAAGAATGTCTCTGTGCATACATGTGAAAGTTTCCTGAAGCATTTTGTGGATAAAGAGGCAGGATAAACATTGAGCTTTGGTTGTAATACTCACTTAGTTGACAGTTGTACCTCTTCACTGCCCCCCCTGCTGTTCTCGAAAAGTTTGAGCTTGTGACATTGACTGTTCTCTTTGAGGTGGTTCAGGGGATGAGACCCACAAACTGTCCTCTGGACATCATTCCTCCCAGAGTTCTAAAACAGCCTTTTGACTCTCTGGGCCCATACCTTCTCACTCTGTTCAAAGGCTGCCTTTGCTCTGGTTTCATCCTTGCAGCTTTCAAGCATGCTGTTGTTAGGCCACTGTTAAAAAGAACCTAATCTAGATCCTGCTGTCAAATTTCTGACCTGTCTCGCACCTGTGATTTTTTTCCAAGGTATTAGAGAAACAGTTTTTTTTCAGTTGCAGTCTTTTTTTTGGGAGAGAAATTAAATTCTGGAGAAATCTCAGTCAGGTTTCAGATCGCATCACAGTACGGAGTCAGCTCTACTTAAAGTTCACAATGACATTCTGCTCTCTTTGGTTACAAAGAAATCAGTGCTGCTGATGATGCTGGATCTTACTGCGGCATTCAACACCGTGGAACATGCAGTTCTCCATGTTGGTGTTCAGGGCATGGTCCTGCAGGGGTTCTGGTCCTACCTGAGTGAACGGAGCTTTGCTGTGATGGTCGATGACTATTCCTCCTCCTCTGCCCCACTATCATCTGGGGTGCATCAGGGTTCCATCCTTGGCCTGGTCCTGTTTTCACCTTACATGCTGCCACTTGGGTCCTTAACTGCCAAACAATTAATCATTCCACCTTTACGCTGATGATGTCCAGGTATTTTTACCAGTGCTCCATAATACTGCCACTGCTCTCGACTCTCTCTATAGCTGCCTTTTGGACATTATCAAAAGCTTGGAAAGAATTTTTTTCACCTGAATGAAAGTAAATCTGACTTCATCCTTTTAGTTCCAAGGACGTCCCTCAGATTCAATCCGGGGTCGGGGGTTCAGTCAGCAATACCGCCAGGAACCTGGGAGCTGTCTTTGACCGTGAAATGAACTCCAAACAACAAATAAATGTTGCTGTCAAAGCTAGCTTTGTCCAGCTGCGCCTTTTGACCAAGGTGAGACCCTTTCTCTCATGCCAAGACCTAGAGAAGGCAATTCATGCAATTTTTTAGTTCTCGTTGGACTACTGCAATGCTCTCTACTCTGGCCTCCCACAGTCGTCACTCCAACAGCTCCAGTTAGTACAGAATGCAGCAGCTCGTCTCCTCTCTGGCTCATCAAGGCAAAGCCACATCACCCCCATCCTCTCCTCCCTGCACTGGCTCCCAGTACATTTTCGATTGATTTCAAAGTTTTAACACTTGTTTCTAAAGGCCTTCATGGTCTCACCTGCCATATTTAACTGAGATGTTGACCGTACATCGCCCCAGCAGAGCTCTCTGGTCTGCTGATCAAATGGTTCTGGACGTCCCACTATAAACAGTGGGGCAATTGTTCCTTTGTGGTTACCGCACCTAAACTGTGGAACAATCTGCCGCTTGGTCTCCGGGTTCTCACTGATCTGCACCTTTTTAAGTCCAGATTAAAGACTCTTTTTTTTAACTGGCTTTTAATACTTAGGATACATTGTTTTATGCTTATGATTTTAGTATGTTTTTTTGTTTTTCTTGCAGTGTTTTTATCTTTCTGTTAAGCACTTTGGTCTTCCTGGTGTTATTTTAAAGTGCTATATAAATAAACTGATTTGATTTGAGACAGACAAACTACTGTAAGTCAGATAAAATGTGTTTAGTTTCACTACATTGTTTTAAGCAGGAGGTTCTCTCAGCAGTCAGACATCTATTTACTTCACATTTACCCATCTTTGTTGGTAAAATGGAAAATAAATAAATCAAGAAACAATCTTGCATTCATTGTCAACAAAGTTGTACTAACCTTAGGTGAGGTCTTATGGGTAAAAATCCCAGGTCAGACCAACCAAAATAACATTTTACATACAGTTTGAATCATGTACGTGCTTTCTCTATCACAGCTCTAAGAATGTGGACATAAATTAAAAAGTCTACCTCCCTGTCTGATTTTAAATCGCTCCTAAAAACACATGTTTTTGCCTTGGCTTTCAAAACTATGTGAGATGTTGATTTTGGCCTGTGAGAAATAATTTTTTATTATTTCATTTTATCCTATTATAGGTTTTATATTTCTGATTTAATTATTTTTTTTTTTTATCTTTAATGCTTTTATGTTTTTATGTGTTGAAATGGTTTTATGTTGTTTCACTGTACAGCACTTTGGTCCTTCGAAACATTTTAAAGTGCTTTATAAAAAAAGTTGGATTGGATTGGATGTAGCATTTCTAAGATGAACTTCGGCAATTGATACCCAGCAACTAGTATATGGCTATTTTTGAATGCTTATACTTTCAGTGATTAGGAAATTCTTGACCAGGAGTATAGAATCTGTTTTTCTGACTTTTTCCAGAATGATTTATTTGTTTATTTTATTGTACGTAACCTTATCTGTAGTTTGTGTTCTGAGAAAGCATGACTTATAATCTTCACCTTCTGATAATCTAGTTTTGTTTTTTTTCTCTATCAAATCACACTTTAAAAACATCTATTAATTGAATGTGTTCATGGAGTTTTATCAGCAAAACAAAAACAGCATCCATAACATTTACAAAACTGTCATGAGCTGGAGGGGTCATGAGAAGAATGCAACCCCTGGACTAACTTTATATCCTGAAAACCAAAGGAAGTTGCTGTAGATAGATAAATAATCTGCTTTTGCTTTATGTGATTTATTTAAGTTTTTTTATATTGCATGCTTTAGTTTCTTCAAACAAAATCTTTCTCAATCCTCCCTAAAAAACTGTTTTTTAACTTTGTGTTTAACTCTTCCCTAAAACCAGTAAGCCTTTAAATATGTGATTGTTATGTAATACTCCAGATAAATCAATGTAGATATATATGTTGAGGGGGCTGTAGGAGGAGGTGATTGTTTGTAAAACAATTCATAGGGTTTGTTGTTTCATAGTCTGTCAAAATATAACTGTAAAATTAAATATATATCATCAACACAAAGTAAAGCATTACCTAAAATAAGAGGAACCAAATACGGATTCATCAAAAATACGTGATAAATAAAATGAAAATATTTGTGTTCAGCTCTCATTACTGAAATACTCCTAACAAAATCCAATGTGAACTTTTGTCTTCAGATGTAATAAACAGAATTGTGTGTTATTCTGCCTCAGTGTTACATACAGCTGTTCTGTGATGGCTTCAGAGATTTGTCTGAGAACTTTGGTGAAAATAGAGGGGGAAAAACAGCAGAGGAGTCGGGGGGGAAGTTTCATTTATGTTTAAAAGGACAAGATTAAAAAGAACTTTGAACTTTTGACTGAAGAGCTGATGTTCAGAAATGGTAAGTAGCTATAGAGCATTTGTCAGGATGCCTGTACAGTATTTGTTTTCTGTTGTAAATTACTTTTTTGTGATATGCTTGCATTTCCCTACTGTGGGATAACGAAGGATTGTTCTTTTCTATATTACTAAACTGAAAGAATATGGCACAAGAGTCAGGTTACCAAGAATGATTAATGTAAAGAATAATCGTTATCATTCATAAAAAGTCGTGTTAAACTTGTTAAATATAATAGAAGTGTACACTTCTCCATTAATTAGATATATTTTTTCCTAAACATAGTATAATGCAATATGGTATATGTTGTAATCTATATATTGTAAATAGATCTTCCTAAGGAGAACAGTTAGTTGAAGCAAATATCCCTTTTTGTCAGGAAAAAATTAATCCTCTTCATTGCATAAGCCACAAGGTCAGGGGAATAGAATGAGAAGACATGGAGCAGATTTTTCTTGGCTCAACTCCATTCTTTTGATGCCAACAACATGAGCCAGAGAGCTTTGACTCTGCTTATGATCTCTCTGCTAAACTTAGATCAAATCATGTTAAAGTTTACGTCCTGTTTGAGAGCCGTTGACTAAAAGAAGAAGCCTTATTTAAAGAATGATCACTCTAGGCAAAAACAACGGCAAACAGGCTCATAGGTCAAAGCACCTTAAGGGGGAAACAACCTACATCACACTTCACTGATAGGCTGGGCACAGAAAATGAAAAACAGAAAATTATATCATGGTTCAATTCAATTTCATTCAGTTATTTTGAAATAGTGCCAAATCACAACATGTGTCATCTAAAGGCACTTTATGAGATTATAAAATCCCCAGTTTATGTAGAATAATCTATAGGATACTAGTTAACACTCTGCTAAACAAATCTTGACTTTTGTGGAGAGTAATTAGAATGAAGCTATCAGAGATAGCAAAGAGAACAAGTAAAGAAGGTGCATTTCTGAAGGTTTGGCTTTGTTGAATGTTATAACAGTAACTCTGAACATCATCTTGAACACACCATTATTTAAGATAACAGTGGCAGCATTATGCTTTAAGGATGCTTTGCTTGGGCAGGATCAGAGAAGCTAATCTTAGTCGACAGGATATCAGGCAGAAATGAACTTAACAGACAATACTGGAGGAAAACAGCACAGCCGTGAAAATGGTTAATTTCATTCAAATGTCTACATTTGCAATGAAGAAAGACTATGGTTATTATTAGGGAATATTAAATTGAGCAGCTTGTCTGGCCAGCACATGAATTATGTCAAACTTCTTAATTAAATTGTCCTTTGTATTTGTAATCTCAGTAACATTAGATATGTCTGTTCTACAGCCAGATAAGAAAAAAAAATATATCCTGGAAACGACTTAATCTCTCTCTCCTTTTTTTATATAAATGCCTGTAAAATGGTGAAGATTTGTAAATTCTTTGTCTGTTCCACATCAATGGCACATCATCTCTTTATAGGCTGAGATTCCATGTTCCCTTTTCCTGCTCAGACCACAGCTTTAGAAGATTTTCTCTCCCTGAGTCTCACCTGGGCTTAGTATGTCTCTAAAATACAAAAACCAGACTCAAATGAAATCTAACAGCAACACTGATTTATTTACGACTTCAGTTTTTTAGTTTCCTTTGGGAGTGCATGACAGCAAATAAATGTTGCCTCACTGGGATGCAGTTAGAGAGAAGATCTGTAACTGATCTACATGACCCTGGTTGGATTAAACAGAATATGAAAGATTACATATGATTAATGTAATCTGATTGCCAGGATGTGATGAAGATGAGAAAGTATTTTCAGCAAAGCATTTAAGAATATCACAGGAGACAGTTCCAAACTGAAGCAGGCATTCCCACAGATGCTACACAGACCATGAACTGTATTGAGTCATATTCCATTACTAGACACAGCAAGTAGAGCGAGCTACACAGAGACGTTACACTGATCTAAGATTTGGTCATCCGCCTATAAATAACTGGATGAAAGTGTAGATAGGAGGTTTCATGGTGCCAAGAGGGAGAGGTAATTTACAGGGGTAAATTTGTCACTGATTTATTTTCTGTGAACTTTATTTCTTTTCAGCCTTTCAGTGATTTTTTTATTTGATTTTATTACAGCTCTGGTATCTGAAGCATTTTCATTTGAAATACAGCCTGCAATGCATTTTCAGAAATATGTTTGTTCTTTTGTTTTTCCCCTCTGGATTTTGAGTTTTACTGATTTAAACCAGATTTAGAATAAATAAATAAATAAATAAATTCTCAAATAAATCTACTTATAATCTAATAATGACAAAATCCCTCTGCTATGTATATTATTAACGTCAGGGAGAGAAAAAGCAAACACAAAATTATGTCTGCCACATTTTGTGTGTGTGTGTGTGGTCCTGTCCTGGCATCAGAATGAGGACCATATTTTTGATTTCACCAAAAAACTGAGAAACATTTAAAGATGAGCCCATTTTGCTTATTCTCACTCCGTTTTTTGACGATGGATAGGTTTAGGACTAAGGTGTGTATTGAGTCTTGGTTACAGTTAGATATGAACTGGTATTAGTTAAGCTTAGGGTTATTGTCAGGGGTAGGGTTGAGATGACTGGAAATCAATGAAACTCAATTAGAGTCAAATCCTGGTCCACACTATGACTAGATTTAGAATCATTGCTGTTTTATCCATAATCAGTGAGTGATCACATTTGAATGATTCAAATGTTAAAAGAAAAAAAGTCAAAGATAGATGTCATAAAAATAATTTAAATGCAGATTTTGGAGGAAGAGGTGTTTTAATACAGCATATTATTATATTAGGATGTAATTATCCACCAGTACCTTATTATAATTTAAAGAAATTCCACATAATGAATTATTTTTCACAGTAATAATGGAGTTAATGATCTCTAAAAATGGGTCTCAAGTACTCTAAGCGTCTCCTTCTCTGACCAGCCCAGAATTAATGAACACCTCTGAAATACTGTCACAACAGTCTAACATATTCGGGGGGGAAAAAAAGTTATCCAGTGCTTGTTGTGGATAAAAAGAATACTGGACGTATTAAAAATGAGGCTGTGGCCTGTTTGCTGAAGAAAAAGATGGTTCTCATCTTGTGTTTACTTTCCACAAGCAGCTGGAAAGCCAGTGAGTCATTAAGAGGAGGATGTTCCTGACCAAAAATGGCAGCAAATGGAGAAGCTGGAAATGATCGTGCATGAATGAAGTTTGAGAGCTCATTGCAGGAAAAATGCATTATTTTCAGCTCCTTAAATCTACATTTCTATAATCTATCAGGCCTTTCTGTTTGATTCCAAATCAGCAGAAAAAAAAACCTGTTCCTTAAATCTCTGCTGACATATGATTTAACCTACGTGGATGCCTCTCTTCTCTATCATTTCTTTACCATCTCAGGCCGTTCTCATCACTGCCCTCATATAGCCCTGTGAGTGTCCACTGACACAACAGGTGTGAGGTTAATGGGTACAGCTGGCCATATAACTACACTTTTATTTAGTTCCTGAGGTCTTTACCTAAATATAGATGAAGACTAACCCTAACAGAGACTGGGATTACCCATCTATTCTCATTTTAGCTTCAGTAACTCTGGGGGATTAGGCTCACAAATTAATCTAAGAACAAAAGGAGACTCTGCTGTTCCTGATCACTGTGGCTTGTGGCTTACAGACACGAGTTTCAGTATGTCAGATTAAACATTTCTTTGACTGTTTTGTTCTTGGAACTTCACGAAAGATTCATCTCATTAGATCTGGTATAAAACAAACCGTGCTTAGAAAAACATCACATAGATATTCAAACATAGTGGTGGTAGTGTAATGGTCTGGGGCATCTCTTTGCTGCTTCAGAACCTGTAGGACACTCTTACTGATCGAACCAGGATATCTTTTCTACCAAAAGTAGTACCTCAAAGGCAAGTGGGTTCTGCAAAAGGACAATGAAGAGAAGCACACCAGCAATTCCACCTTTTATAAGTGGTTCTGGTCAATGGCTGGACTTAGGTCCAGTGAGGATCATGTTGCAGAATGTTAAAAACACAGTTGCTTAATGGAAATTATTTTGCAAAGAAGATAGGGTAAACATTTCTCCAGAGTGATGTAACTAACTCATGTTCAGTTACTTCAGATGCATGATAACAGCTGTTACCACTGATGTTATGAGGATAATGACAGTCATAGTAAAATGTAATTGGACTTAGAGGCAAATGAATCTTTATTATTAACCCTGGTTAGTTTGGAAAGCTTTTTGTTTCACATAAATGTGCTTTTTAAATTACCTGAAAAATATATTTTTGACTGTTAAAGTATTATTACTGTAAAGTAAAACCTCTCCTGTCACGTAGATCTTGTTTACAAATTCCAATTGTTTACAAAATCCAAAGTGTTCAACACTAACTGAAGCCAAAGTTGACTTTTATCATCCTCTGATCAGCTGCATTGGCATTTACAATTTATATTTACTGTATGGTGGCTGATGAGTTTTTACTTCATCTTTATTTTGTGTGATAAACTCTCTTTGGTTTTCATTAAAAAGCAAAATTTTGAGGATTAGGGTGTGGTTTTGTAAATATTTTCTCAACTCTTAAATTCTTCTGTGTAAAACCTACTCCAAGAGTTCCTGACATATGGTCGTGCCAGGAAGCAACGTAAGCTGCTATTTGTATCTAAGCCGCATGCATCCACTATGGCACAGGTGCAAGCTCCAATCTGCACAGGAATGTTTCTAGAATGAACCGTTGTGAAAAGAGAATGTTGACAGTAAAGTATACAGGGAGCCCTTCAGAGGGAAAAACTCCCGCAGGAAAACTCTGCTTCAGATGTACAACTAAATATTTTTGCAGAATACTTTCCAGGTCTTAGATCACATGTTTACCTCCTAAAGTTAACTTTTTTAACACATCCCATTACTCACCCTGGAGATGGTCAAAGGCTGGTTGAAGTCCTTTCCTCCTGTCAGACGGAAACCCCAGGGGGGTGGCCCATCCAGGACAACATTAAGTGGCATGGCCCTTTAATATCTCCCAGCTGTTTTGACAGCAGCACACAGCTGAAGTGCTCGCTGCTGGGATCACAGTTACAGAATAGAAAAGTTTCAAGTGATGGAGGCTATGAACCAGGCTGTGGTGAGGCTTAGGGAGAGGGGGAGTGGAGAGAGCCCACCCCCGGAGTGAGGTAATTGGTCAGATTTTAGGAACGCAGTTATAGTCTGCAAAAACTCATGCTCACTTATGGAGTTTTAATCCTCTTTTTACAACCTCTTCGTTCCCAACAGAAGCCAGAGGTTTATCTCATAACTCTAATCTTTGATGTTTATCTTATCCCGAACATCTCTTAGCTCCAACTCTTCAGGATCAGGATTACTTACAAGCAGGGTTGAGATGTAGACATACCTTTGTCAGAAGGCTGTTGCTGTGAATGCTTCCACCCAAAGATGTTGGAGGTCTGGCAGTCCTCCTCTTTCTCTGTTTGATGTGTCCAGCTGCTCTCCTTATTTGGTTCCGAAGGCAAAGCTCCTCTCTGAGGTCCTTGAGGCCTTGCAGGAACATTCCAGTCACTTTGGCTCTGGACGGGGCTGAAGTCTCTGGTTTTTAATAACCAAATGGTTTTATTCAGATGTGGGTTGTTGAACAGTTATCAGATTATGATTTATGTTGTTTTTTTATATTTATAAATTCCTCTACTGGCCAGCAAAAACCCTTATTGGAACTGTCTTACAGCATTTCTTTTACTTCTCACAGGTTTTCATTAAGCACCAGTTGTACCCACATAGGAAAAGAACAGGACAAAAACTTCAATATTTTATGTTTTTACACTATTTACTAATTCAAAGCGAACAGCAAATTAGTAACATTAAGAATTACAATATTATCTATTACAAGGCCCAGCCTAATGTTATCAGGAGCCTTAATCAGGATTCAATTAGGGCCCCTCTGTTAATGAAATCCCTATCAGTAAAATGAGGGATTGCTTTCAAGTCAATGAGTCGATGCAATCTGCTCGTCTTCCTTAGACAGAAAACTTTGATCCAATCTGACTGTTTGATCTGGTTGAATTGTCTCTGTAAAGCGCCTTGAGATGATGCTCATTGCTTTATAAATAAACTGAATTTAATTGAAAAGCATTTCAAAAATGATCACTTCGAATCTGTAATAAGTTCAATCAGTTAAGTATAAAAGCAAACACTTAACTAGTTGATATATGATCAGATGTATTTATGAACAGACTTAGCTCAAGTTACAAAGGCCAATTAAAACCTGTACGATCACATTGACAGCTCAGATAACCTACAGCTACATGGGATCAGAGAAAAGTCTGGTTTTAAATCTTTTCAAACTGTACTTCTCAATAGTTTTTCAGGAAGTACTTACTGCAGAGTCAAAAGATTTTTGTTTGATTTGACCGCTTTTTTATTAACACAGTAGAACCTGATGTGTTATTATCATGTCTGGACCAGTTGTTCGGTGTTAAAAGCATAATTTTAAGTCATTTTGGGACCCATTCATCACTGGTAGAATATTTTTTTTCATGTTTGATCAGTTTTCCTCCTCTGGCAGATTTTTGGGGTACCTCAAGACTCCAGTTTGGGTCCTACAGTAGCATACACTTTTCACCCTCTATATGCTTCTTTTGCTGTCACTGGGAATATAGTGCATCTTTTTAATGATCATGTTCTGCCCTCTTCATGGCTCAGTGATACAGAAAGTGGCAATTTGGAGCCTATCTCACAGAGTTGGACGAAAATATACTATTTCTTCATGTGTATTATGTACGACATACACATGTACACACCTTCATTTTAGTTTGGAGTTTTACAATGGAGAGCTTCAGTTCATCCCTTCATTTGTCTAAGTTTGCATTTTTCTGTGGTCTTTTTCAGCAGGCTGCAGTGCAAAATTAACAAACCATATCCATGTGTCTTTCTGTCGCTTGATTACATTCAAAGAAATTCAGGACAGCAGTTGGGAGTTCCTTTGATACCCACAACAAAATCCCTACTGTTGTCTCAAGAAAAGCTGCGTGTGACCAGGAGCTAAAACTTGCAAAACTTGATTTGTCATAAAGTCCCTTTAATGGAAGAAAAAAAAAAAAAACTGGGGGGGGAACTTGCAGACCTTTAAATGATCTTTTGGGTACTTTTACTTGTTCTATTGTCAGGAATGTGGGGGTGTTTTCATGATCATGTTAGATTTTGCAAACAGGTCAGTGCAGTGAGTCAGTCTACTTTTTATAATAATATAGCACTGACAATGAAATTGAGCTTACCCAAAACATGTCGCTATTGTCTCACAGCTTAAAAGACGATTTTAACAGATATTAATTTTTTTTTTTTTATAACGCTGCCTATCCTCCTGGACTTTAGCAGCTGAACAATTCTGGTAATCCTTTTACGGTTATGTCTATTTTTATACAGTGTATTAAAAATGGTAATAAATATTCAATTTATCCTATAACTGCAACATGAACTAAGGAACAGAATCTAAGATGTAATATTGAAAAGGATCTGCCTCAAGGTTACCAAGTAGATAATGGCATCAAAACTGTATTAGTTATCAAACAACATTTAGCTTTTTTTTTTTTTTTTTTCTACAATTATATAAAACTGAACATGGTTATCAGTTTATGGTTCTGCTTGGATCAGGATCTACTTTCATAGATCAGTACTCCTAAAATATATTTTCCTTTTCAGTCAACATTTTGGTTGATCTAATAAGCTTAACAAAAAAAAAAGATTGACCAGCTTGATTTTATTAATAGTACAACTCAGAAGATCATCCAGAATTGCTAGAATATTGTAGAAATACTTGTAATCTACTGAGTACCAGATACAATTTAAATGTCATCACATCTGAAAACATCAGAAATCAAATTTGTTTGCAATTCTCTGCGCTTATCAAGGGCAAACAGGAGGTATAAACACTGAATATTTTTGTCTTCTCTGCACACTATCATTTCTACTTTTTTTTTCCTAGACTACATACGCATAAATTCTTGCATCATAAAAGAGGTTTACATGTACATGGCAATGAAAGTAGTGAAACTTAAATAAGGCAACAGTCCCTACTATAAATTGACCTACCATAACTTCGACTTCAAAAGCATTATGGCTTTTAAAGCACATGTGAGATCAGCTAAAGTTCTGCATTCCATTTGCCTCAGAAGATGGATATGTAAATGACATCGAGTTTTTGTTGCACGGTCAGAAAACAGCCCTTTGCTGATTGCTATTGTGCCGTCTGCTGCTATCAAAGGCTAAACATCTTTTTCTCAAATTTGTATAGATTCAAACATGAAATGAACATAGAAATCATAGAAATGCATTGAAAATATTTAGGGCCTCTGGCTGCTGACCAATCAGACACAAACCATTGCATTGTAGTTGTTCTGTGAATAGCTACCTACTCAAAGCTTGTTCTTAAAAAAAGCCTTTGATGTGAAAGCAGTTATTGTTGAAAAAAAAAAGCACATGAAGTTATTCATTTTCAGGCTCAGTGAGGCGTACCAGGCCATTTAAACTGAAACTGTCATTCCTATAACATGTCGATGTATGCTTGCAGTTTATTCAGGTTGTTATTTAGGTTTTATTCAGACTGGAAGAGAAAGTGAAAGCAAAATAGAGCTCAATTAAGCAGATTAAGAGTCTCTATTTCACCCTTAAATTGGATTCAAAACTGTTGCCAGCTTTCTTGAAATCTCGGACTTGAGGTGAATAAGTATGAATCCTTTTAAATGCAGACATATTTGTTTTACGCTATCAAAGCCAACATCTTTACTCACCAATGAGATGCTAACTGCAGCTTGGAAGTACTGACAACTAATTTAGTCTTTGTTAAAAATGTTTAAAAACGAATACAATGCATAATGATTGTAAATCATCTTATATTTTTTTTAAAGCAATAGATTTTATCTAAACCAGATCCAGTTAGGTTGTGAGGATGCCAAAATTAAATGATTTTCTCTCTATATAGATCAATTTAAAGAATCATTCAGTTTTTTTGAAATTCTTATATTTATCTTCTAGATACTTGAGATCAAGGGAAAAAATGAAATAGTTTCATACATATTTTTTTCCAGATTTATCTGGACTTGTAAAACGGGTAAAATCCAATTCCTTAGGTTTAGGCAGCACAGGACCCTTTCAAATGAAGGCAGTCTGTATTAAATACTCTATTCCTGCCAATTTGACTAGATTTCATAAACGGCTTTCACACCTCAGGCTTTGTCAAGACAGAATAGCTGCATCAGTTACTGAGCCATTCAATTTTACTGACTTTAAAGTGAAACAAATTCTGACTTTTGAGTATAAATAGAATGCATCAAACACATCACACTTACAGGTGAAAGACGAACAAAAATGTGAAGAAAGAAGAAACGAATGTGATGGTGGGTGAAAAACAGCTGAGTTTATAAAGTACGTGGATGCTGGCTGTAGTACAAAAGGCTTACAAAAATGACACAAACGCAAGGCGTGCTCACACCAGCTGACACAGTGAATAACAAGAAGTAACGTGAAGGTGGTTGTTGAATAACATATCTTAAGGTGCTTTAACAATAGTTTTTGCTGTCAGTGTCCATTCTTTGTGAAATGTTAAATGGGGAAAATAAGTGAAACAACAAAAACAAATAGGTGGTGTTCCCTTAACATGACAGCTTATCTAGGATGATAAATGGCAAATCTTCCAAATAATATGCACACATGAACAGTGATACACTACTTACTCACTCTGACAGCAATACATAAATTACCTCACCTCGCATCGTCAAATTCCACATTGGAAATGTGTGATAATTCATTACATTCCAGATAACAACAACCTAACAGCTCAATGATCATTGAAAATAAAACCTTGCCTCAAAACACTAGATTTAAAAAAAAATGTCTAAAAAAAAGACAATGACATGTTCATCTCATAACAATTTGATAAACAGTTTGTCCTCTTGATAAATACCTAAAAAGGTAAACAACCTTTCCGCAAACATTTTCAAGGCGACTGTCTCCTGACGTGCTGCAGTCAAACAAATCTCTAGTGTCATTAATCTGAAGGAAAAAAAAGAAAAGAGACATGCTTGTGTAGAGATACTGTTAAAGTGCATCAACCATAAAGTGAAAAAAACTTTTGAACAAAAACAATATTTTTAAAAAGTTTTGCAAAAATGTTGCATTGTAAATACGAAATCATCAGGGAGAATTTTCTCTATTCACCTGCAGCACCTGAAATAAATGACTGATGATTTACACGTAACTAATGTGATATTTGAATGGCCTATCATAAATGTTATGGAGCATAACTAACACAATACTGCTTTTTCAACACTTTCTGAACTTTATTTTCTTAAGGATTTCTTAAACTGAACACTGCCTAACTGCATCTTAAAGAGTTAAAATATCAGACTACAGAGGTGATCTTGGTAACTTACTGCCTGGAAAACAGCTAACATATAAAGGAAAGTATTTTTTCCGCCCTTGAATATCCTTTTTTCTCATCGCCAAGGAGCAGACATTTTTGAGTTCTCCAAAATAGAAAAATAATAGTAAAAAGAGAAGATTAAAAAAACAGCATCTTGTCAAAGTCTTTCATTAAAGATGGCTAGTTTGAGCTAAGGTTCTGTCTGTGTAAAGCTGAAAGCCTCAAAGGGATGCAAATCTTTAAGTGTGCTGCAGCCTCAGGTTTTCGCTGGCGTCCTGTGAGCGCTGTGCTGACGGCGATGAACGTGTTGCAGAAAGGGGCGGGGCCATAAAGCTCTCTTGAATCATCCTTATAGCTGCTTCACGTAGTTTCCTGGGAAGGTTCCAAACAGCTTGTTCCTTCGAGACGTCCCTTTACAAACATCAAGAAAAGGAGTCAGTCAGGCCTAAAAAACACTGGCTGTAACAGAAGTAGACTGGAAACTAGACACCTAAATGTCATCTAATGAGGCAGTCTTTTTGTGAGCTGGAAATGTAAGCTGATTTTAGCAGCAGTAGGATCCGTTTGAAGAAGCAGCAAGGATTTCTGACAGGTAAACATACAGTATTAGGTTTCAATGAGGTTTAAGTGTAGTACTAGATTGTGGAAATTAGTACCTATTTATTTTTATTTTACTTTATATTTGAAACATTTTTCTAGTTTAGAAGTCAACCAAGTCAAATAAGGAATTAAACTTACGTGTTTTATAACTGGGATCAATCTGTAATGTGTGTACCTTGAATCTTTCAGCATGATTAAACTGAATTGAGTTTTTGTAAAGAGAATAAGACATCCTGTTTTGTTATTCAGGGCTTTAAAAATAAACTCATATGGATAAGGGGCGCATAGGGATGGCCTGGGGTCTCTTTAGTTACCCCCACACCCCATTGCTTATGTGCTCTTTGCAGGTTGGATATATAGCTTTGGAACGGCTGTTCCTGTGCTTCACTTATGACCTGCCTATGCACTGTCTGCATGGCTGCACAAAGTTGATGCCTACTGTCTGTCTGCCTGGGCCCTCCATCATTAATAGCTGAACTTCTTCAGGTATTTCATATGTTTACTAAAAAGCACATTCCATAATACTTACTCAAGCAAAATTAGGCCATACTTTTACTGTTACATTTTATTCTTAGCTTCCACTTCATGAAGAGTGTGGTTATAAACCTGCAAGTGGAGGCACACTGACATCTAGTGGTGAAGGTGTATATATATATATATATATATATATATATATATATATATATATATATATATATATATATATATATATATATATATATATATATATATATATATATATATATATATATATAAAATTTGCACAAGTTTTGTTTTAACACATATTGCACATTTTCTGTTAATCCAATAAACCTCAATTCAAAACTGAAACATTACTGTGTCCATCAGTTATTAGATATGTCAAACTGAAATAGCTGTTGCAAACACCCAAATATTTAGAAATAAAAATAATTAAGATTACTAGGGGTGCCCAAACTTTTTCATATGACTCTAATAAAAGTACTGAAATATGGTGCGAAGCGAGGTAAACCCTGAACAGTTCCTCTGTTCATTGCAGCGCTGCACAGAGTGAGAAATAACGTGACCACATTGGTGTAGGGTTGTCAAAAGTATCGAAACTCAAAAAAGTATCGATACCAAAATGTTGTATCCGGATACAATACTCGTTTTTAAAAGTATCGATACAGTGCCACCACCAGTGGCACCTAAGCAGTCATTCATCTAAAGTGCAGAATAGAGGACAATGCACAATCAGAACACTGTGTGATTGAATAATTCTCTGCACCTTTCGGTTTCAGACTTTTTTTCTTTTTTTGTAACAGGTGCAGCTGCTGAGAATTATTTTTGTTTTTTAACCAGTTTGGCTAGTGTCATTGTTATGTGTGCAAAGCATAGCCAAGGAAGGAACACTTAATTTTAATTTTATAAGTTTTTTATCAAGCTTGCTTAATATTGTGCACAGCATACAACCGTTATTGTATTTATTTATTGTATTTATTTATTAATGAAAATTTTCTGTAGAATTTTGGAGTCTTTGTTTTTATCCTTGTGGTATCGAAAATGGTATCGAGTATCGAATATTTTCCTTAGTATCGGTATCGAGTTGAAAAGTTTAGTATCGTGACAACCCTACATTGGTGGATACGTTATTTTGATAAATAATACCAAAAATAAAATGAGTCAAACAAGGACAAAAAAAAATATCTCATTAAGCTTTTCTGTAACATGTTAATGGTTTCCTAACACAACACAGGGATTTAAAAGCAAATCAGTGATTTATTTCTCTTAAAGCACTAGCTACCTGTAGTGTTCTTTATCATGGAATGTTGGGGGGCATTTGTTCAAAAAGGGTTGACAACCATAGGTTGTTATTCTCCTGGATTATTTTATCAAGTTTTTTTTCTTCCCTTTTAGATGGGATACACATTTGTTGCATTTCCTATAAGCTACTATAATCTAGGTCCTTTTTACCAAACTTGAAAAAAACTATTTCTGCCTTGTTTGATGAATGATATTTAACCTTACCAACAAACCAGCCGTCATCACATTTCTCCATGACGTCCACAATATCTCCCTCCTTCAGCTCCAGCTCATCTTCATTTCGCGGGATGTAGTTGTACAAGGCCTGGTATCTGTGTTTAAAACACTCATGTCAGAAATAGATGGCATTGCTGTGTGTGTGTGTGTATAATACAGCTCACAGTTATATCCATATTTCTCACTACTATTATTATCTAGCTAATATTGTTAGCCACAAACCTTGATGTCTTTATAATTATATGTGATAGTCTTCGACAACTTTAATTTTTATTTTGTACACACAGAGTGTATACAAAATGAAATTTTGTTTTGCATAGCTCTCGTGACATTTTTATTTTCTTAAAGTGCAGCAGTGACCACAGGGACGGCTTTCATCAACATCATGTGTACTTAGTCTAAATATCGTATCTAGTTTCATTCCACCATAGCAGCTTCTTCCTCGTGCCTATCGCTTACTTGATTTGTGCCATTCTTCCAAAAAAAAAAAAAAAAAAGTTTGTGATGTACATAAATAATGAACCCATCTGAAGCCAAAATCTGGATCTTTGCAGCTCCTCCAGAGAAACCACACTGTAATGAATGCTCTTATTTACTGCCATTTCTGCTTGCTCAACCATCTTTCTTAAGGTTCACAGTTGTCCCATACTGGACTGTCTTTAACCTGCAATGAACTGCTCCAGAACTTTATCTATGACCCGTCTGTTCTGTATCTTGGCCCTGAACACAATAGCACACAAGGAAACTATGCATTCTAAGGACAACTGCTTCCACTGGTAGAAAAATATGGGGGCCTCAAAATGAAAAAAAAAAAAAAAATTTTTCTCTGCTTTAAGATTTAGCACTATTTCATGTTTTTCTGTCACATAAAATCCATCAACATAAATAGGAGTTTTTGGCTGAAACAAGAAGGGAAACTAAAAAAATAAAAGCCTTTGCATAACATTAAAGGAATAGTACACCCAAAACAGGATTAGCCTTCATTTTCTACTCACCCCCATGCTGAACAACACTCTGGAGTACTTTTTTGATATCTCAAATGCATCTGGAGATTTGGGAGGCTTCTTGCTGTCTGCTGACATTCAAATAATGGAGGTCTATGGTGACCGAGACAGAAAGGTCTTCCGTAGCGTCATGAACGCGCGGGCGCTCGCTTTCAGGAAATCCTATACACTACTGTTTATGCTCTAAAAACATTCTAAATGACTTAGTTTCGAGTAAATTCTGGATGCTACCCACTCAGGACACTTGGAATACATTGGACGAGCAGTATGGAGGAATATTTACACGTTTTTTGTGGACTTTTATGGACCTTTCTGTCTCGGTCACCATAGACCTCCATTATTTGAATGTCAGCAGACAGCAAGAAGCCTCCCAGATCTCCAGATGCATTTGAGATATCAAAAAAGTACTCCAGAGTGTTGTTCAGCATGGGGGTGAGTAGAAAATGAAGGCTAATCATGTTTTGGGTGTACTATTCCTTTAAGGCACACTTAAGCACATTGACAATATTTTCAGTGAATTAAAAACAGATCAAAACAGAAATGCGAAAAATATGGAGATAATAAAAATGTTGAGGGCAACTAATAGTACTTACGGCTCTCCTCCACCGTGGAGTGCGTCCTGTACCAACCGCTGTTTTACAGGGAGAAAAAAGTACATTTAATTCAAATATGCTTTTCTGTGTATCATCCTTGGTTCAGGGCAATAAACAACTTTATGTTGCTCATAGAAATGAAAAGTTGGAGTCTTATTATGGAACATTTTGATCCATTTAACCAAACAGCATACATATTACAAAGTAAGTTCTTAATCAGACACAAATGATGAGATGAATTATAATGTTTATTTCCTGCACGGAAACAGAATTGCAGTGGTTTTGCAGTCCCCCTACCCTTCGACCTCTAACTGGCGACAGATAGGACCTCCTTGACAAGATGGGGCTACGAGGGGGCTTACCGCCAACAACTGGATCCTGCTTAACAGGCAGAAAGACCAAAGGCACCTATAATCTTATAGGTCAGCAACCTTAATGATAAACCTAGCAAGCAGGGTGAAACTCTAATGTCATGCTGCAAACATCCTCGTCCGTCATGCTGATACCTACAAAAACCTGCCACCTTCAGAGACTTTATAGGGACATTAAAGCATGTCATCTGGTGGGCATACATGATTATCTATGTACTTTTGTGTTAATAAATCAGGCAAGTTAGTATTGATAGTATGACCTCTAAAATGTGAGCAAAATACCTTGAAAAATCTTGTAATAAAACCAAGAACCGAAAACTCTTAAACATTTAGTTTAATAAAACTAGACAAAACAACCCATTACATATCCAATTAGAGAGAAAATGCTCATCATGAAACTTCAGGTAAGTAAAATCTCTGTTAGATGCGGTTGCTTCATAATCTACATCTCCACATTCCAGCTTTACCTTCACCTTGGGGGATCTACGGCCTGCGTGTGAGACAACAGGGGTATTGTTGGGGGAGTGGGGACTAGAGGGGGGAGGAGAGGCAGGTTTAGGGGGAGACGTGTTAATGGGATGGAAAACTGACTGTGAGGTGTGGGAGGATGTAACTGGACAGGGTAGACGAGAGGAATTGGAGGACTGATAGAGAGGAACATCTGAAGAGGGGTCAGAAATGATAGAAAGAGACAATGGCAAAGATGGAGAGAGGGAGACAGGAGGAAGAGGAAAGGTTGACAGGTGAGGGAGGCCTGGGGGAGGATGAGAGACGACAGAGGGAGAGACAGACATTGTGCTGCGGTCTTGATGTTGGGATCTGGATGACGGGGAGGAGGAAGAACTTAGGAAAGGAGTAGGGAGTGTGGAAACTGGAGGGAGTGAGGGAGAGAGGGGAGGGAGACCGGAGCAAGGAAGCTGTGACGGGGAGGAAGAAGAGGCTTCAGCCTACAGCGACAAAAACAAATATGAAGTCACCAGATGTCCGCCTCAATAGTACCATCTTTAGTAAACCTCAGAAGGAACATGGAAGGAAAATCATCACATCCTTTTTTCATCTGTTTTGCAAATCTATTTCTACTTTACATTACTTTTACAAATTGTTTTGCTTAATTTGGTTTTGTTTTGGGACAAAGGACTTTAAACGCTTTAATCTGCATCTAACCTGCTGTGCTCTTTGAAAAAAATAAGAGGCAACAATATAAACCAACCACCAGAATTACTCTATTTTTTTATGAGGGCCTTTAGAAATTATTCTCACATACATCTTTTTTGAACTATTTGAACTTTTTCACAATTTGCTTGGTAGATTTTGTACTGAAAATGTTGCCTTTATCATCTATCTCAAGTGAATTTATTAGCAGGATTATGTTACATTCCTTCCAAGTAGTTGAAGTTATTTGCAAATGAGTCTCCTAAGCAGTCGGGCATAGCTGTTGCCATTATCAGCATGGAAAACACATTTTTTTGCTCAGTAGCTGAGCTGAGGCCTCCCACTCTGTTCAGGGTTGGCTTCTTTCTGATCAGAGGATGAAAGTGAATTCTGATGTGCAGAAACAGTTTAAAGCTGAGAACTTCTCTCTCTAGCCTGGAATTTAGATGGTCTTTCAGACAAAGAACAAATCATCTTTGGCAGTGACATTTTAAGTCTGCTTCTTTTGTTTGATAGGCCATGTCTTGGATGACAGAGTTCCTTATTCACCACCTTTGTCCAGATCTAGATGTGTAATGTTTAGCTGTAATAAAACATGTTTACAATGTTAAAATAAGTTACTAAGAAAGTGTTCACAAATAAATGCTAGTGTTGATATAAACTGTATTAATGTTCATTATAAGCTGCTTTGGATCTTTATTTTTCCCTTCAATGTTTCTTCTGGGAAGCTACTGAACTTACAAAGTGCTCACACCATGCTCTACCTGTTGACTGAATCGCTCATTTAACTCTCTAACTTTCTCCTCTTTGTCCTCCATGTCTTCATCTTCTTCTTCGATGAATAACTCTGTGTATATCTTTCCTTCTACTGATGGCGGCCTCTGAGAATCAATCCGCTGCTCATTTACCGATACTTGCTGCTCTTGCGTCAAATCAGACAGCGGCTTCATGTTTAAAGTCTTGTGAACCTGAACCTTTAGCTGTGCTGTGCTAAAAGAGTCAATATCTGCTGCCAGCGGACTGTGCTGGACTTTGTCCTGGAACCATCTGCTCTGAGCTTCTCTGTTTAACTTGACACATAAAGAGTCTATTGCAGTCTTTTTTGAATCATTGGCATCATCTCCGCTGCTGGAATCATCCAGAACCACTGACAACTCATCATAAGGGTCTCTCACATGCAGCTCAATATCAGGAGACTTGCTGTTTTCCTGCTCATGAGCAGATTCCAGCTGCTCTGGAATTTGGGTGGGTGAGTTTCCTGTCACTGACTTGGAGCAGGTCAAGCAATCAGGCCTGGTTAAGCTTGTTGATTTGTTCCCCTCAAAAACATGTACCCCCTTGCCGTTGTGTGTAACTATATAATCAGAGGTGAATGAGGAACAAGCAGGTGGAGGAAGAGGAGGAGGCGGTGGAGGGGTTGGCTGAGGAAGGACAGTTGCGGTGTGACATAAAGCTGCTCCTTTCTCAGAGAAAAGTGGAGCTTTAAAAGTCGGCCAGTTTGAAAAGGAGGAGCTTTTCTGCGAAGGAGCAGGTGAGACTGAAGTAGACACCTGTGCTGCTAGGAGAGGTGTGAGGTCGGGGGGAAGGGGTGGCGGTGTTGGAGGTAAAGGAGTGGCTGTGAGGGAATGGGTGGGAGTGGGGGTGGATGGGTCCAGCGTGAGCGAGAGCCACTCGCTGGTCACAGCCTGTAGGTCAAGCCTTCTGGGAGAGCGCTGAGGGGAAAGGAGGTCACGGGTGGGGAAGGATGGAGGTGGGTGATAGAAGGACTCCATGAAAGTAAAATGAGAAACAAAAGCATAGAGGGTGAATATTACAAGCAGGAAACATGGTTCAAACTGTTCAGGAATAAAAAGAAAAAGCTTTATAAAAGGGAAAAAAGCTAAGTTTACTTCTGTCTGCAAAATAATACATATCACCTTACTAAAGTATTTTACCCAAGTTTGTTACATTATATACACACATTCTAATGTATTCTATTCAAAATATATCCTGTAGACAAACACACAATTATATCAATGTAAGATTTAAAATAGATATAAAATCTTTTCTATTTTGTAAGGAAATATGAATCTAAAGAGTGTTTAACGTTTGTATTAAGCCTCATGTGGTAAAAAATTAAAGCTACAAGTCCATGTCTTTAATGGCTTATTAGCTTTAGAGATGACATTTTCTGAAAATGATCCTTTCATCAATCAGTTAAAAGGACAGTGTGGGGTGGAGAGTATCTATGTGTGACCTTGTAGCTCCGGTTCTGTTTAGGTTTAATGCATTACGTTATTATGAGGGATGGTAAGCCACTACCCCAACCTTCAAGGTATTTAGCTCTATTCTTCTTTCCAACATAAGGATAAGGAGGTTCTACAAATTTCCTTTTTATTCTATTTCCCTGCAGCTTCATGTGTTATGTGTTTATTTCTTTTAATCCATCACTTCAATCTGAATAAAATACCTTAAAATTTTCGGGAAATAAAATTAGAAAATAAATACTTTTTGAAGGTGCTGCTTTAATTTAACAAGTAATGCAATTTTTTTTAAACTACTGAGGATGTCTCTCACTTTCTTACCTTGACAGGGGTGGAGCTTGGCGCCCTGCTGTAGGCAACAGGATCTACGTGGTGGCTGGGACTCTTGGATGGAGAGTGCTTGACGATATCAACGTAAGACACCGGAAAGATGCCCTGTTTGATTGTGCCAGGAATCTTCCCCTCGAACCAGTTCTGATCCACCCGCCTGATGACTGTAACTCTCTCACCCTACATAAAACCAACAACATTTTGCTTATAGAAGCAATACACCAAAGTTGTTATGAGACACAATAAACTATGACTTGGGGAAATTTTGAGAATCTCTAATCTTATTCAAGGGCAGACATTAATATTCTGCAGTCACTATTTTTCAAGCACACAGTAACACAGTATAGCAACCTTTCTTAGAGACAGCTCCACGTTAGTGTCAGCATTGAAGTTATAGCGCGCCACAGCCTCGCCAATCTCCCTGATGTGTGCTGGAGGAGGAGGACGGATTGGCTGATGCTTCTCCGACGATGGCATCTTCTACAGCAGTGAGAGAATGGGTGCAAACAAGGAGAAGATGCACGACTGAGACGATCAATGCAAGATGAGAAAGGTGCACAAAACAGATGCAAGTTTACCTCAACGTACGCTATGGGGAAGATCCCCACTCGTCCTCTGTGTTCTCCTTCATACCAGTTGTTGTCTATTTGCCTGATGATGTTGACTGCATCACCCTTTTTAAATGTTAACTCCCTGGAACAGAGATGTCTTGGTGAAGTGCTACATGCATATTGGGTCAAGCGGAAAGACCAACTTAATAGGAAATGGAAAAAAGTATGATATACAGGCAGAAAATATAAGCCATAGCAGCACAACACTTTAGAAAAATGAATGAATCCGGTTTGGAAGTACATGCAGTAATGCAGATGCGATTAGTTTTGATAACAGACATTTTGCCGAAAAGCAGTAACGTAGAAAAGATTTAGGGGCTTCAAAATCTATTTTCCATCCTTCCATTAGATGGATGCAATGGATGGATGGGTGGAAAATCTATTGTAAAATCCTCTGACGTAACAGAATGCTGAGACGAAGTGAAATGCAGGTGGGGGAAAAAAAAGTTTTTTACATCCACATGCTAAATGTATAGTACTTACTTTGCTGTTTGTGCCTTAAAATCATAAATTGCTCTTGCAGGCTGTTTCTGATGGAGGAGAGAGAAGAGAATAAGTTGTGTCATCTGTTTATGGGAGACCTGGAAGAGCAATGAGAGAAAAAAAAAGAGCCAACGGACATCACCAGGTTTAACATAAATATATTTGCAAAAAATAGTGTCTGGAAAACGCATTTGTATTGATTGAGCTTCTCCACATGTCACTTTACAGCAACAACTTTAATGTGTTTTATTTGAATTTTATGACAGAGCAGCCAAAGCATTGCATGATATTGAGGTTGAAGAAAAATTATACCAGTTTTTCTTTTTTTATTATGTATTTGTAATGGAGAAAAGTTGTGGACCAACAGCATCATAAAGACCAAAGAATATGTAAAGTAAGTAAGTAAAAGACGCCAAAGGTAGATGCATATTTAAATCAGGTGGCAGATCTGCAGAAAGTACAAATAGTAGTTGTACACTCTACTAAAGAGTTGAGAGAAACGAGCTTAATAAGTTTGACAACAATCGCTAAGGGGATACAAAAAATATAGATATGTGTTTTGGTCAGAATACACCAAAAATAAAGTACTTTATCTATTGTATAGTTTTGCTGACAGGATTTTTTGTGTTTTAGGTAGGTGACACAAACCTTTAAAGTTTCTACCTGACCAAAACACAGCTGGTTACAACTAATCTATTCCCTGTCTTACAAATATATATATTTTTTAACCATTGTGGTGGTGCTGTTTATTAACTACACAAAAAATGCCAGTTTGCTGTAGAGGAACACAAGCAACTTATTTCCAGGTTGTACCTCTCTGTCAGGAGTTGCTCTTCTGCTCTGTGGTGTGTGGTGTCCATCCATGGTGGAATAACTCCTGGAGACATCCTGGTCTGTGATGGATTGAAAAAAAGCATTGATATTTAGAAAGTAGAACAGCAATCCCTCATGTGTAAACTGAGATTAACAAATGGGATTTGGAAATACATTGAACAACACAGAAACGATGTCATTCCAATGGGAAACACAGGGAATGAGAGCTTTGGTAAAAAAAACAGGTGTATTTTATTTCCATCACACAGGGGGGAGCAAACAAAGTGAACAAACTTAAACACAACATGGGACAAATGAGACGCATGTGGTTCTAAAAAGTAAATGCAACACAAGATGAAACGAGGGAAATACAGGCCGGCAAAAACATGATAAGATAAAAGGAAACATTCAAGCAAATGGCTTAAAAAAAAAGATTCAAATAAAATTAAATCAGTAAGAAGATGGCATCCAAATAATGATCCATTCGGAAAACAAAACAGAAAAATAAAGAATATACAAATTTACACTAACCAGCAACTTTGATTACCAAAAATTAGCCCTAAAAAAGAAAAATAATTCTCTAGAAAATAATATACCATATTCCATTGTACCATATAAGGACTGTGTCTGTTAAACATAAGTAAATCTGGATTCAATTGTCAAATAACAGCAAATTTTGAACAGTAGATTATGGAAAACAACCTTACAAAAACCACAGGTCATTTTGGGAATCAGAGTTGCTGCCAGACTTACATACTGTAAATTCTCAATACTGTAAATGTTGTTTTCTAAACAACAAAATAGCAAAGTGGAAACACCTTCTTTTTTTTTTTTTTTTTACATTACCGACAAGCAGATTGCTCTCACTGCCCATATTTGCACAGTCTAATGTTACCCAGATTACATTTTCTGCAAGGTTTTAAATGAAAATCACTTTCAAAGAAAACACTCTTACTTCACTAGCATCACTTTAACATAAAATATTTGCAGAAATATTAAAGGTGCAAATAACTGAAATGTACTAGCAGTGAATTAAAAAGATTAACATTGAGAATTTACAGTAAATAAGCAAGAATATATCTCAAATACATAGAAAATAATGGACATGGCTGTGGACCAAAAAGGCGACTCATGTTTTAAGTGAATGTAACTGAATGAGACTAGGCATGGGCTGGTTAACATGATTAAGTATACAAAGGATCGAAAGGTTCAAGGTTCCAAATTACTAGAAAATTTAGCTTTGATAATGATTTTCAAGGGAGAACACAAAGCTTTATGACAAAAATCTTAAATCAGCGAAGCTGATCAGCTGACTGAGAATACTGCATGTTCTTTTTATTACAAGTCACAGAAAATATGTGTGGACACTAAGATAGTGGCAGCTATTATTAGGTCATCTTCAAGCTACAGTTGGGCAGCTAGTGGTAGCTTGTCTGTTTAGTTACCAGCAGCCGGCTGATCAAAGAAGACAGCCCTACTAGCTACTTAGCCAATATGATATTCTTATACTTGTTTAAAAGCATAAAAAAAAGAACATTTTAGAACATTAAAAACCTACTGTAAAGACAAAATTCAGCTTTAGCATTTTCTCATTTTTGCCTAGGGGTTTACATAAAAATAGCAACAAGTGACTATCAAAGCTGACATTATTATAACTGTCATAAACGTAATGTTATTTAACATAAGTTTTTTTAGGCAAAGACCACAACACTGAAACCCTAGGGAAGCAAACCAGCCTATGCCTAATCCAGACATCAACACATTGGAATTTAAAACAAGAGCCAAACTGATGTCAATCAGTGTCAATCTTACAGAGTTTTGAAATCCTACTGCAGGAAAGGATTAATAAAACGATTAAGCAGAACACAGCCGGACAAATGGATGCACAATATTAAGTATCCAGTAAGTCACTAAGAGTTGATTAAAGCTACAGTGTGTAATTTTCATCGACATCTAACGTCCAGACTGCAGACCGCAACAACATGAACATCTCCCCCCCACCGCTTCTCCCCCCCAACAGTACGGCGAGCGTTACGGGACAAAATGTCTTCCACGACGTCCGCATCACCTACCTTCTCAAGTGAGGAGGTTTGTTTACATAGATAATTTTAATACTGCCATCTATTGTTCAGTACCGTCTCAGTTCATCTCTCTCAACTTGCCGTAGTTACTTTCGAGCGTAATGGGCGATCTCGCAATCGCTAGTTTGTTGGCTCTGCGCTGCCGTAGCGCAAAGATGTCTGCCTCCATGGCTGCGAGACCCGCTCCTATGTAATTATAAATAACGAATTCTAAGGCAACGCAAATATTAAGGTTAAGAGGCTGAGCTCGTAGATGATGATAAATAACATAGTTATGTATAATATATTACATTTCTGACTGTATATCCCTGTAATTATTACACACTGTAGCTTTAAATGATGCTCGATCAAAATATTTCTTAGGCAATCTTATGCATAAATATGAATATCTGATGACAATGTACAGTGATGAACTCCATGTATTTGAAAATGATATACATTTGATCTCCACCTGAATAACAAGGACCATTTCCATTGTCTTGCTCTCCGCTATATTCGTTATTGTTTGAGGCCTCCAAATGTCGTCCATAGCAGGCACTGACTGGCGACTGTAACCTTGGGGACTGTAGACTTGTTGTAGATGGTTCTCTTCTATGCGACACATACACAGCCTGGTTTCCCTCTGGGTAAACGGATGCAGAAAAGTGTCCCCCATGCCAGCAACCCCTTCTCCCTCGCAAAGAGGAACTTCGTTCAGGCACACTTGGCAACAGTTCGGCCAAAATTCTTCTCAAAATACTGTCATCGGGAGGCCTAGGGCTTCTGTGACCTCTCTCTGCTTGAATGTGCTCATAAATGTCTCTCAAGGCTGTATCTAGTGCTTCATAAATGGCCTGTTTGGACTTGGGTCTGCTACCACGACCTCCACCACCGCTGCTCCTCCTAGAGGTAGGTGGTGAGCCCTTTTTCCTGCGGAAAGGCACTGGGCTGACCAAGTAGGCCAGCTTAGACATCGCTTGTTGGGATTGCGAGCCCTGAATTTGGGAATGGCTGCTGTGACTCTGCTGTCTCTGGTTCTGCTTTTGCGCTCGCTCTCTCTCATGGCGAAGCATGGTTGTGAAGCGGGTGTATGAGGCTGGGCAACGGCCCTTGCAGGTGCTGACGAGGTGGCGGTGTTGGTAGCCCTGGCTTTGACCTAGACTTTGGTGACCTTGATGATGATGATGGTGATGGTGGTGGTGACGGAGGTGGTGGTGATGGAGAGTGGAAGATCCGTATAAGCTCTCGGATGAAGTTAGAGAGCAATGGTCAAAATCACTCTCACTACAAAATGAAGAACCTTCCACCTGGATAAAGTCACTGAGGTCAGATGCAATGGCGTCTTGTTCACTGTCAGAATAGTCAGGATTTTCTTGGGGGCTTTGCGGAATAGGAGGGGCCGAAAATGACTGCCCACGTCCAGGCTCAGGACCGACACGTGGTTGCCCTTCTGGTGGGCTACGAGGTATATGATCCATGCTGCAACGTACAATCCTGTTGTTGCTACTGGCATCTTCCTCTAATAATGACTCAATTGAAAATCTGCGTTTTGGAAAAATGGGGGTCATGCCTCCACCGCTGCTGGCAAGAGATGATGAACCACCTGGTGTTGTAGTGCCTGAAGGCACCTCACCATCACCTAAGTTAGGCATAGATTTGGACTTCTGAATAAGACGTTCATATTCAGAAATGCGATTTGGCACCATGTCCCTTGGCACTTCCACACCCCAAGAGGGTGTCCAAGGAAGGAGGCGATGGCGATGAAAATGAGGTTGGCGCTCTAGATCCAGGATACGGGCACGGACAGATCGGATTATTTCAGAAGGGATAAGCTGAGCTCGGTCAATCTGGTGCATTTTACGATAGAGTTGAAGAAAGCCTGGTGAATCATGTGCACGTCGCCGGTGAACAGGCGGAAGGGACTGAGTTGAGGTTAATACTGTAGAGTTATTCCCATCACACACCAAAGATCCAGCGCTTTCTGACCGAGTGGCATTTTGTCCACCAGAACCAGAATGACCGTCATTAAGCAAGTCATCACAACTGCGGGATTTGATTTTGCCAGAGGAGTGTGGTGCCTCCTCTGTGCTGCTCCATGTTTTATCATCCTGACTGTTCGGCTGCCAGTTGTTTGTGCAAAAGACAGACTGCTTTGAGGAAGAGCTGCCTGCCTGGCTGGAATCCTCGTGGCAACGATCAGCGTCAGAAAGAAGAGGAGGGAGAGAGGTACTCTCATAAGGACCTGGGGTGCTTATACTGTTTGAAAACATGTTGCATGCGTCCCCACCTTTTGGATGTCCAATAAAAGCAGCGTGGTAAAGGGAGAAAAAGAAAGAAGTTATGCTAGATTAACGAGAAATAGGGTGGAAGCACAGGGAAAAATAAATATACGAGAAAGAAATTGGAAGAAGAGTTAGGAAAAAGGGGTTCATTTAGTCTTCTCTTTTTTAGAATTCTGTCAGAAAACAAACCTACTAAAACACCAGATAGACATATTGTAAAACAAACAAAGGACATTTTTTTGGTAAGTTGAAATAATAAATGCAGTTAATGTGTGTCTGGGGAGAAAAGAAAAACAGTAATCATTAAGCAAAACCATGATTCTCAAACAAAAATGAATACCTTTGGCTCTTAAGGGTGAGGGAGGTGAGGAACGAACAACAGGTTTCTTCAGGCTGCTGCTGGATCTGTAAGTATCTGCTGATTTAGGGGAAATTGCAGCTTTGCTCTGAGACTGGGAATTCACTTGTGAACTTGATGGCTCAGACTTCCTTCTCTTCCTGTAGTCGCTGGTAGCACTACAACACAGACATCGACAGCTACGTTCACAACACTGCACCTAAAGAAATGCTGAGAGCATGCGCAGACTGAATTTGTACAGATGCTGTGGTTGCAGTTTATTAGCAGCTAAAATCCTTAAACAGTAATATCGGAAGCAAAAATATATAGACATAGATATAATTGAAATCAAAATATGAAGTAATTATAAATAATCAGTGTTTGTCCACATGCATTTCTCTTTTTTCAGTCAAAGTCCACAACATCTTGGTTCTCATTAAAATACAATATTCTTACAGCGGTCGCCTTAAATATGAGACTGCAAAATTCTAAGGAAGGCAGTTGGAAAATGAAAATTGAGGAGAGGAAAATGAAAAATAAAAGTGAATGAAACAGCTAAAGTGAGTTCAAAAGATCTAATATCCAAGTGCAACATTAAAAAAAACAAACAAAAAAAAAACAGGAAGAGGCCTGTAATGCATTTTGTTTAAATTTGATCATTTATCTAAGTTAAATGGACAAAGTTTTGAAACATAATGTTTTTTGTTTTTAGATTCATTTTCAATTCTGGGAAATGCTTAAATCCAATTTCATACTTTTGCAGATTGAGTGGGAAGTGTGATGTCCCTGCCTCTCTGACTCTAGTCACACTGACTTTGGCTTTGCCATAAACGGTTGATTCATTCCGATCCTGGCTGCATCCTGCAGAAACTTTCTCTGCTCCAGTCATATCTTTCTCCTTTCTTTTTTAGCATCTCTGTTAAATTAACCCAGTTGATTTTTCTTTTCTCTTTTTTAATATTGGGAGTGGCCATCTGCATCTCCCCATAATGCGCTGAGCCACCTGCAGCTGCACAGAGTGATACCCACTACGATGCTGTAGTTAATGTGTCCTTCCTTCTTTTCAAATTGAGGGGGTCCATCTTCCGCAGCATGCTTGCTTTATTCTGTGCTCTGTTTTATGGGGTAGAAAAAGCAACAACAAAAAAAACGTGGCGACTACCAGCCGTTTGGGCCTAGAATAGACTACTGACCATTTGGGAAATATCATAAATCTCCCTACTGCCACTCTGCCCTAGTATGAAAAAGTCAGAGTTTTCCGTCATTCCATTTCTGCAGTATAAACATCATTTTCTTTTTCTTCTTCTTTATAAATCTCACCCCTGTAGCTTCTAGATCTACAGTCATGGCCAAAAGTATTGAGAATGACACAAATATTATATTTTCACAGGATCTGCTGCCCTCTGGTTTTCATGTGTGTATGTCAGATGTTGTCATCACATACAGAAATACAACTGCCATAATATTATGAGTAAGAAAAGCTTTTAATGACAGAATGAGTTAATGCAGCAAGTCAATATTTGCAGTGTTGACCCCTCTTCTTCAGGACCTCTGCAATTCTCCCTTGCATGCTCTCAATCAACTTCTGGACCAAATCCTGACTGATAGCAGTCCATTCTTGAACAATCAATGCTTGCATTTTGTCAGAATTTTTAGGTTTTCGTTTTTTCAAACCGTCCATTGATGATTAACTACAAGTTTTCAATGGGATTAAGATCAGGGGAGTTTCCAGGCCATGGACCCAAATCTCTATTTTTTGTTCCCTGAGCCAGTTAGATATCACCTTTGCTTTATGGCAAGGTGCTCCATCATGCTGGAACAGGCATTGTTGATCACCAAACTGCTCTTGGACGGTTGGGAGAAGTTACTCTCGGAGGACATTCTGGTACCATTCTTTATTCATGGCTGTGTTTTTAGGTAAGACTGTGAGAGAGCCGACTCCCTTGGCTGAGAAGCAACCCCACACATGAATGGTTTCAGGATGCTTTACAGTTGGCATGAGACAAGACTGATGGTAGCGCTCAGCTCGTCTTCTCCGAACAAGCTGTTTTCCAGATGTCTCAAACAATCGGAAAGGGGATTCATCAGAGAAAATGACTTTACCCCAGTCCTCAGCAGTCCACTCCCTGTACCTTTTGCAGAATATCAGTCTGTCCCTGATGTTTTTCCTGGAGAGAAGTGGCTTCTTTGCTGCCCTCTTTGAGACCAGGCTTTGCTCCAAGAGTCTCCTCCTAACAGTGCATGCAGATGCACTCACACCTGCCTGCTGCCATTCCTGAGCAAGCTCTGCACTGCTGGTAGTCCGATCCCGCAACTAAAACACTTTTAAGAGACGGTCCTGGCACTTGCTGATCTTTCTTGGGCACCCTGGAGCATTTTTGGCAACAATGAACCTCTCTCCTTGAAGTTCTTGATGATGCGATAGATTGTTGACTGAGGTGCATTGCAATCTTTCTAGCTGCGATTCTCTTTCCTGTTAGGCCATTTTTGTGCAGTGCAATGATGACTACACGTGTTTCTTTAGATATAACCATGGTTCACAGAAGAGAAACAATGATGCCAAGCACCAGCCTCTTTTTAAAGTGTCCAGTGGTGTCATTCTTAGTTAATCATGACAGATAGATCTCCAGCCCTGTCGTCATCACCACCCACACCTGTGTTAATGCAGCAATCACTGAGAAGATGTTAGCTGGTCCTTTTAAGGCAGGGCTGCAATGATGTTGAAATGTGTTTTGGGTGATAAAGTTCATTTTCAAGGCAAATATTGACTTTGCAATTAATTCCTGTTACACTGATCACTCTTTATAACATTCTAGAGTATATGCAAATTGCCATTATAAAAACTGAAGCAGTACACTTTTTAAATATTAACATTTGAATCATTCTCAAAACTTTTGGCCATGTGGTACAGGTTGAATAATGACTAAAGGAGAGAAGCATCCCAAACTTTTGACCTCATTTGGCCCTTGTAGACAGGCCACAATGGACGCAACGCCGCGGTCTGAAACTTTAAAGTCAGCTATAAGGAAATACTTTAGCCACCTCAAGAAAATGGAAAACAATGGGTTGAACGGAAAAAGTTGCATTGGGGCAGTTGCCGGAAGCAATACAGCGAATCGCTTTTCATCCAGTGCTATTAGCTAAATCAAAGGTAAAGTGTTAGCCACTTTAAAATGAACAGGCCACCTTTCGCACGAGGCATTAGTACAAGAAAGAATACTAAAATGTTACTTAGACAGACAACATGGGGATTGAGGTGGACAAAATTTTTTAATGAGAGTTTAGAAGTTGTTGGATTGTGTAGTTGATATGTTTCAAGTTAAAGGCTAAAGTAAAAAATCCCGTAGCACTTTGTATACACTTTTTTATACTTAGAATTACGGTTGCTTTTCTGTTATGTAAGGATTTATACCTACGTGCAAAAATCATAAGTCTAAATGTAATTTTTTTGTAGACACTCTTTAAGATTTGTAAGTGAAGGAATGCTTTTGAAGAAAAAAAGACACCCAAGGTTTTTTTTTCCTCTTTCATTTGAGAGAGAACACACTTAATGTCACTGACATGAATAGCCTATTCATTATATCTCTATTCTGCTTGTTCTGTTCAGCCTGCAGAATGTGACTGAATAACCAGGCTAGCATTGAAAAAAAGACTGAGAAGAGGGGGTTGAGGGGTGGACAGAAAGTGAATAGCAGAATCAATAGATTTGCCGGTTAAATGTATTCAGTCTCAGTGGGAGAGAAAAGCATCCCAACATCATTAACTAAATCGCATTAACAATGCTTCCAATCTGTGCAGATCATCATTAGAGAAAGGAACCACATATTACCCGCACAGTCAGAGTTTTCACACTGCGCTGAATCACAACAAGGAGGGCTGCTGGTGAGAGGATGGGGGAGGGGGTGATGCAGAGGAAAATAAAGAAAGAGCAGTTACCTTGCAGGTCTCTCCGAAGCCTTGTCAGCAGGAGCAATGTGGAGGGACGTCTGAAACAGGGGCACAGGACAAAAGAGAAAAGTGAGCCCAGCATGAACAAAGACATCAGGCAGGACAGCTTACAAAGAACAGCCTGCATGCAACTGAATCTGTGCCACAGTCAAAACATTCCCTCAACTAGAGGTGCAATGAATACTGGTTCCACATGGCACACCTGGCCAAGAGAAGACTGACTTGTGTGCAGAATCAAGGAAGCATTTTCGGTCCCTTTTCTCAGCTGCTCTGAAGGATGATGGCAAAGGTGATATTGCAAAGGGTCTTATGAGCTCAGCTCAGGGGGGCAATTGAACTGCTGCAAAATCTGGTATGGATCAACTGGAATGGATCTTCAAAGCACAGGCTGTACTGTAGGAACACTTCAGCAGTAGAAGTGCAAATGGTAAAAGTCACTGTGGAAATAGTATGAACTAAATACAGACCATTCCCATTTAAGGCAGCAACACAGATTCCCCTTGTAACAACTTAACACCCATAAACATACACTCAGAGTTACAGCAGAATGGTTTATTATTAAAACAAAATCATGAAAGGTAAAGTAAAAAAGTAGACCTTAAATCAATTCAGGGTCAGTTGCAAAATGTTTAAACCAATTCTGACTTATTCTCTCCATCTAATACTACTGGGCTATTTTGCAGAACATGAAAAAATATCAGTTCCAAAGTGGGAAAAGACATACCCCAAAAGACAAACAGTTGAACTGCAGCAAAAGGTTGTTTTACTGATTATTTACTGAAGAAGACTGCCACACTTTTTAGATTTTACAAAAAAAATATATTTGAAAATTGAAATAAACTTCTCCATTACAATATCGCACTGTTTCCTATTGGTCAGATCGCATATCACCTAACATTTAAAAAACAAATTTTAACAGTTTTATATGAGTATATCAAATGCAAACACAATGTGGTTCAATGTATGTAACACATACATTGTGGACTAATGATGAATCTGAGATTACCTCAATGCGCTTGCTGGTGGAGACGTCTGGATTGTAATCCAGCTGTTTTTTAGGAGGCTTCAGCCCCAAACAGTAGCAGCAGCAAGCAGGTAGGGGAGAAGAGCAGGAGGAGGAATAGGAGGAAGGTGAAGATGAAGTGAAGGAGAAGAAGCGGCGGTGACATCATGGGGAGAAATCAAAAACAAAAGAAACATGTGGAGAGGGTAAGACCTGTTAGACAATCTGAGGAACCAGAGATGAGCCAGTTAAAAAAAATGGAGCCAACGAGCTTGTGTCACACAATGTACAAATATGCACCAACTTTTTACACACTAGCACACGTCTAGAGAGCAAACACCCAAACAGAACATGTCTTGACATAGAAAGCCCTATGCAAACTCTTTCACAGTGGTAGCAACACTCACTGGCAAAGCTGCTATCAAATAAAATATTTTCTATTGCAGTGCTGGAATATTATTAAAAAATCTTTTATTTACAGAATATATGTATAGGAGGGAAACAGAATTCATTAGTAATTCAGTTTCTAGCAGTTCTAGACTTTGAAGATACATTTAAAATTATTCTTCTGAGGAGAGCAAAAAAATCTTCAAAGCCCACAGTTAAAGAATTTAAACGTAACCATTACAACTATTAGACACTATCTAGTATCCATTTTAAATCCCAGCATCAAATATTTAAGCATGTTTCCTCAACACGTTAACTGGAACTCTGTTATTAGGGACTAAGCCTTTTAAAACCTAACAAACTAGGTGGATAAACACATGTATAGACTAGTATGTATATTATTACAGATGTACAACAAAAAATGAAAGGGACAGGAATTTAAAAAAAAGTGTAAACTTCTTCCCTATTCGTTTTCAATTAAATAACTGTTCTAAATAACTTTTGTTTTGTTTTTTCCAGCACATTTTTTAGTAATAAATCAGAAAATGAAATTACACTAATATTAAAAGGTATTCTTACAGTAGAGGGTCTGTAAAGCTGTTAGCCTGTTTCTCCTTTAAACTAGTAGCTTTTTTAATTACCAATATATCCAAAATAAATATGTGGTTGCTGATGTCAGAAATCTCAAATTGTAGCATGTCTATTAAGAACAGAGGTTTACAAACTTTTCAGCTTCCAAACTGAAAAATGGTACGAGAGTCGACTTATCGTCCTGACGACTGATTGAGAAAAAACAAATATTTCTGCAACATCAATTAACCATGGCTGTAATAATATTAAAAACAGCATTGATAACAACATCAGTTTGTTTAGTCAATTTTGAAGAGATTCTTCTATATCTTTAAGCCCCTTAACATAAATATTTATTGTTCATTTTAACTTCTATAGTGAATCCCAAGACCCCCTGCTGGTTACTAATGAAGGACCCAAACTTTGGGAATCAATGATCCAGAACATAAATCATAAATCACAATAGCATGCTTTAATTAATACCTGCTTGGACAGTTAAATTGTACTTCACTAATTTTAACCCTTTTCCTATATCTTTAAATACATAAAACTGATTAAGTGCAAACAAAAATAACAATACACAGGTAGATGGGTCCCTCTGTTTGTTCTAACATTTTGAAACTGTCGCAAAAGACTAAACACTGTTCTATTGACAAACAAGGGTTATACAAAAATTTTATGGGTGAAAATGATTGAACAACTAGAGATTTTATTTTAATACATGTAGATATTTCTTTATATGCGATTTTCTTCCCTCAAAATAGTTTAGTCCAGCTAAAGAATTTTTTTAATTATGCCACTGCAATAAGAAATAATTTATTGAAATATATTTCTTTAAATATCTTTACCAGCAGTGCTGAAAAAAAATTGCCTTGCGCTGTATTCATGCTCTTTTTCTACATATTTTTTCTAAAACAAACAAACAAACAAAAAAAAAATCTAAAACACTGCAAATACTTAAATAAAGCCTATCCACCAAAGCACCACACACATGCAAAGTGTAAGTGAAGACTAGCAAAGAAAAACACAAGCTTTAGTGGATATCTGAGAAGGCAGGGGTGTGTGTAATCAAATGCTGTGGTTTTAGTGCAAATGAAAAAGCCTCCAGCTGGCAAAAAAACTTTGTATTTTTATTTTAAGACTGTCGGTGAACAACCTTCGGTTTTGCTACTTATTAGGTGATAAGAGACACTTTAAAGATCGAAGAAGGACATCTCAACACAGCTGAAATTGTTACGGTACCTGACCAAATCAAAGAAGCACCAACAACTGATGTCATGCACTCAAATCATATCACAGACAGAGGCATGTCCTCATCAGATAATAATCACTTTGTAATCACACAGGCTGCTCTAAAGCAACTACCATGTAATCACAACCTACATACAGAGGGAGGCGCTAAAGGCTTGTAAACAGCCCAAGAAATCTAATCCGCTACTAAAAGAAAATGGAAAAAAAAAAACTACAAGCAGGTGGGAAGAAATGTATTTCCAACAGGATAGATTAAACAAAAGGTAGGATTGTTGTATGGTACCTTAAGTAACATATATTTATAAACAAGAATGATTTTTCTTTAAGCTTATAAAGTGCAAAAGAAGAATTCTCCCCCCACCTGCTCAGAGCCTATTAATTTATTACTAAACTACTAAATAAAAAAAATCAGAAAAATAGAGAATTCTCTGTCACAATTCTGTGTTTAGGTGCATGGATGTGTGTAAAGGGAGGGGTCACTGCACCAAACAAATACCACATGCCCAAACAACTAGCCCCACCCAGGCAGACGGTGGAAACAGAACAAAAGTGTCCCGGGTGTGGAAGGAGACTGAGGGTGTATGCCTTACAGCAGAGATATGTTTGTGGAAGCTGCCGAACCGCAACTTACCGGCCGCCCAAACTCCAGCTCGGAAAAGAACTTATACCAAGGCTCGTTCTCTAAATCTATGTCATCATAGGTCTGAGAGAGCATGACAGGGAGAAGACAGAAGAAAGGAGGTGTGGAGGGGAATCACACATAGAGAGACATGGACCCCATGGTTAGGAGTATGCAAATGTAGATGGACACAGGATGAACCAGGATGAAGATGCTAAAAAGGGGTGCTGATGAAGATTCAGCTTTTTTTTCCCAAATACTTCTCTTTTACAGAGCAATAGTGGCAGTGTGTTGTCATAGGCAGAGTCTATTCTAGATTGTTTATCATGCTCTTCTCTATATGCACAACAGCAAGTTTAAATGTCCATTTGCTCAACATTTATTTAATGCTTTTCTAAAAGTGTTCGTGCTCCTTCAACTTTTTCACTGTATTCTTATATAATAAACCACAGATCGCCAACTCCAATCCTCAACAGCTGGCCTCCTGTATAGTTTGGATATGCTCTTGCTCCCACACAGTTGAATCAATGGATTAACTAATAAACCCCTCATTTAATTAAGGTGTGTTGGATCAGGGAAATATCTAAGACTAGCCAGGAAAATAGCTCAGTTGGGATTTAGATCAGGATTTTGTGCTATTCTAACAAGTATATCTTTTGATTTCTATATTAAAAAAAAACAAAAACAGATGGGGCTTTCACAACATTGTCTACCATTGCATAATATAAAAAGGTATAGACCAGCCAAAACTGGCTGTTGCGGGGCAAAAAGAAAAATTTCTTTTAAAATGTAATATGCCGTTCTCTTTTATCCAGTTCAGAGAAATGCTAAAAAAAAAATCACTAATTCTAGCCCAACTTAATAAACTAATTATGTCTAAGACGATGTGGTGATATTAAGAATCTAAATCTTGGTAGCATCTTTAAAGTCTGCAACTATAAAATGCTGCCATCCATCATTTTTGTCCGCTCTCTCTAACCTTCATTCTGCCAAATAAAAACAGCTGAAGATGTGTTGCAGATGCTGTAGTTATAGTTACAGCTCTTTTTCTTTAAAGTGAGCTGGTATTTCAGATATATGAGTCACCCAAAAAAAAAAAAAAATACACAACAAAAAACATCTTTGTAGAGAATGTCAGGAACTCCAATATAAAACATTGGCACACTTAAACAGCCATTAAACAACAACAAAAGATCTCAAAGGAGTACTATTTTTTTCTCTGGCCCAATGCCTAGTTATATCTTTCATGTCTCTTTTTTCCTTTAAACCAGTGGTTCCCAAAGATTTTCTTCTGGGCCCACTTTTTCACTGGATTCTATATAATAATACCACAGATCGCCAACTCCACTTTAACAGCTGCCTCCTGTATACTTTGGATATCTCTTGCTCCCACACAGTTGAAATCAATGGATTAACTAAAAACTCATTAATTAAGGTGTGGATCAGGGAAATATCTAAGACTAGCCAGGAATAATATCCTTGATTTAACAGTATTTTGTCTATTTAAAAACTACTGATGCTTTATTTCACTCATTGCAAAAAAAAACAACAAACAGTGGGCTTTCACATTTTGTTAAATGTTTTTTTTCATGTTGCCTAAAAAAACTTCTAATTTAGAAATAAAGGTTCCTTTTTGTCTTAAAAAATTTATTTAGAACTAATAATCTATTTTTTAAGTCTTGTAACAATAAATTTAACTTTGCCTATCCTCAATCATTTTAAGTAAGCCTCTGAATGGAGAGCTGAGGTGCTGAACAGACAGCAGATCCAGCCAGTGTGGGCAGAGTCTACAGCTTTCACCTTTTATTGCTTCTATCGGGAGCTGACTCATACATAATTTCCCCAGGAGTGCTTTCTGCAGACATCACATTAAATGTCAAACTGTGAATTTTTTTTCTTCTCAGATCATTTCTTTGAAAAGGCTCCCCATCTGTAAAACATTCCTAATAATAGTGTTCAAATCTCAAACACCTTTTATTATTTTTAACCCAGCCTTTTATACAATAATCATCCCTGTCTTCTTTGACGTTTACAACAGAACTGAGAGCCAGTTGGCCGTTGCTAAGGGAAACTAATAGAATTTTTTTTTCCCCACAAGATGTACAGCAGCATAGATCTGTATAAAACTCTATATGGAAATATGCACACAAATATAACGGGTATTATAATCATTTTCTTATTTAAACATCCCTGTATAAAAAAATTAAAATCTAACTTGAAAAGATTAAATCCGTTTTGAAAATAAAACAACGGAAATCCAGAGTGTTTCACTTGCAACCCTAGAAATTTCTGTATAATATAGACTAAAAAACATTTTGTTTTATTCATACTTTTAAATTAGATATTATTAAGAAAAAGACCTAAAGCATTTTTCTATTCTTGTAAACTATGACTTCGTGTATCTCTGAGAGTAAATATAACATGTCAGGTTGGTAAGGAGGGTAAACAAACTAATAAAAGCTCAGCGATAGTCACCAGCTACGTCCAGCATTTTGTTTGGGAGAAATTTAAGAAAGAACTATTACTGTGTATTCAAACAAACACACAGAGGTTGCTTCATAAAAGAATGACTTAATGTGTTTTGGTCAAATTAGACTTATGGCTGACAAACACTGCCACTTTAGGACAGTACAGTGTCGATAGCATCTCTTCTGGTCTAGTACCTCTAGTGCATAAACAATTAGTGGGTGTTGCTTTAAATGATTCAAAGTAATTTTCTAAATAATTTCATTCAAACATATATTTAATTATTTGCTCAGAAATTATTCAAACTATCAAATTGACCTATCAAACTCAGTGAGAAGCAGAGATAGAACCCTGCATCGGCAGGCCAATATGTTTGGCTGATATTTTGGATTTTTTTTCCTATATCAGCATCGACCAATACATGCAAACACTTCCTGATTAATTTCGGCATCCAGCAGTATTTCCTTCAGATCATGATGGACTCATTGTTATTTTTGCTGCTTGATTTGTTATAAAACGTTTCAGGTTTTTTTTTTTTTTTTTTTTAGACTTGTGTAAAATTTGTCATCATTGTGCCATTTTTATCATATAAACAAAGTAAGAAAGTAATATCAGCTATAAAAATAATCATATTTGGGCATAAATTAAGGGCAAAAGAGAACCTAAGGCGGTGCAGACTAGAGTGAGAGATTTAGCAAAACTGAATGATAAATGTATCTTTACCTGTAAGCTTTAATCTTGCTATACGTTACAGAAAAAAAAAATGTCATACTGAAAAAAGGGGACAGTATTAAGTTCAGAGGATTCCAGTCCATCAAATACCATGAAAAAAAAAAAAAAAAAAAACTAGTATTTCTCACAAGGAGTTATATTCATAAAATATGAATGTGTTTGTAGATAACACTGGATTTGTTCCTTTACTTTAAGAAAGGACATTAGTATAACACTGCAATAAAATATGTCATTTTAGGGTCTTTTACACATCTTTCACATGATTGTCGATATTTGTGGAGGCAGTATGACATAATCAAATTTATCAAACCATGAAGAAAGAAAAAAAAACATTATTTTGGATGTGTATTTTGTAGTTTTGGCTTAATTCAAATGTACTTTTAAGATACAGCCACCTGTTTAGGCTATTAAACGTTTCTATGTCATACTCCAACATTAGTCTTCTACTTGGCATAAAACACAGTAACATTCATCAGAAACATATCTATATAAGAAAAATATTCTGTAGGAAAAAATGTCTGCTACTGAATAAATTACTCACTGGTCTTTCATGCTCCAAAATTGACGACTTGCCAGGCTCATACTCAAAAATACTCTTGGGCTCTGCTCGGTACTTTCGTGTGTCAACTTTCCGATCTGGAGGACCCCATTCATTCCTGACGTAAAGAAAAAAGAAATCTGCCTCTCAGAAAAATGCCTCAGACTTTATTAAGAAAAGGATGAAAAGAATCACTCAAATCACTGCATCCTGCTGGAACGTCATTTTCTATGTTTTCTTTTTTATGCTTTGTTTTTGCTCAGTTTGTGAGTTAATTAAGTCCTTTGTGTGTATTTACAATAATACCGCATAAGTCGAGGTATGATACTGGTAAACAAGGAAGTAATGGGGATTAGTAACATGACAAAATTCTGAAAACAAGGATTAAAAGCCTAAAATCCAGTTTGAAAAAGTCTAAGAATATTTGATTCCAAGAATGATAAGACTAGAAAAGTGCTCAAAATAAGTTATGTACATTGGTGATCAGTAAAGCTGAGAGGCATTAAGGTGTCCAGCTGATGGCTGGGTTAGTTAACGTCATTATTAATACTGATACTAGAGATGATATTCATGCAATGCTATTCTTAGTCTCTACAGTCTACAACATCACAAATAGATAGATTGATAGAAATAAAAAGAGCAGAGGGAGGGACTAGCCTTATGTCCATTTTAAATTTAGAAGCTCATCAACAAACACTAACAGTGACATGGCATTTTAACGCTTTTAACTGGTGTTCATTCCTACGAAAAAGGGTTTATCCTTAGATTGTTTTTAATTCATCTAATTGAAATATTTCTTTACTTGATGCTGTTTCCCTGTTTGCATTTGGAAAGTGCAGACATTTTCTTCTCTCTTGATGTTCTGATAGGACTCAGTGGGGGGGATTCATTTGAACTTAGAGCTGCAGTAGATCAGTTTATTGGATTAATAGCGGTTTGGTCTTCATTTCACTTCAACGGTTGAGTTGTTCCTTTACGAAACGATTTTGCAGGAAACAGGAGATTAGGATGGGCTCAGATGGGCTCCGTTAAGTAGCTGCATCAATTGTTGACATCTTGCTTTCGAATTGTTCGGTGCTGCAGGCTCACATCTGTTCATCTCTACATCTGCTCTATGCACTCTGTGCTGGAATTCTTTGTAGGTACAAGAAGAACTACAATCATTGTTAGGTAAGATGCTTGATATATTATAACCTTATTTTATCATAATTAAATAGTTTTTGTATATACAGTATGTATATAATGTTACTATACCCCTTTAACAAAATGTGAACCATAGAGAAGTTATAGGTTAAAAAAGTCTCTGCATCTGGAGCATCAGGGAGCATTTTGCCAATCTTTCCTTACAGAAATAAATATAATATAATATTATAATAGAACCCTATATATAATATAGGGTTCTATTATAATAGAACTATAATAGAACCCTATCTTTTTCTTATTACTGTAAAGGAAAAAATTGACTACAAAAACCTATAATTTAACATTGTAATTATGATGTGTTCCTTTTAATGCATGGGATTACTTTAAGCTTTTAGCTGCAATTTATGACACTTTAGTCAGAGCAATATAGTTAACTGAAGCTTGAATCTTCTTGGTAATATATGCTAAACTACTGTCAAATAAATGTTTAATGATGATGAACCAACAATGCACATTAGAGCTCATGGTTAATAAAGCTGTATAGGCAGATCTAGTGCTGAAGGGGACTAACAGGTCCTGCCTTATACCTTGAGCTAGATTTGATAAAAAATTAAATGTCTACTATGCAGTTATGAAAATTACACTTTACAACAGGCAGTCTGATGAGCGGAAAAAGGGAGTCTATTCTAAACTGATCCATTCTAGTTTCATTCTAACAGTAACGTGTTAAACAAGATAATTTCTCTCTCTTACATGTCAGTAGAATCTCTGTCACGATCGCTGTCTCTGGCCCTCAGCTGCAGGAGGGAAGGCATGGGTGGAGGTGGTGGAGGTAAGGGAGATGGTGAAGGCTCTCGAAGACCCACCTGCCCATCATTGTCTGAGGGGCTTTTGGACAGAGGTCTGTAGGTGTGTGTTCGTGGAGGGGGGTGGGCCATGGTGGTGCTGTAGTCTTCAGCTAAGGGCAGAATGGAAGAAAACAGCGGAGGGAGAAGTAATGAGGGCAATAAGAGAAAGAAGGAGACATATAGGTTGGGAAGAAAATGACAAAAAGTATGAAACCGCTTTATGTTCCATCGAAAACAAGTCTCACCGTTGTTTATGAAAGCATATGCAGCATTGTATGTGCCAGAGTAGTCATCATCTGGAGCAGAAAGGGTAAAAAGACTGATTGATATACAGAAACTTTAAAGCTCCATTGATACATTCTGACTGTAATACTTAAGCTTCACACCCCAGTAGCAAAGCAATATCGAGCAGAAGACACCTACCAATTAAAACCAGCTTCACATTATCTGTTTACACATAGAAATGTGCTTGTTTAGTTTTTGTGACACAGCATCTTATTCAAAAAAGTTTTTCACCCCCCCATAAAAAGAGCAATTCAGTTTGCAGCTCTATAAGCTCAAAATAGAAATCAATAAATGAAAATAATAACCCAGACCTGCTTTCTACTACATACATTGACTGGGCTCACTTTTCATTTACATCACTGACAAACTCAAAACTATATGATCTTTTATAACAGTGGTATGACCTCAAGATGAATATGATAGGAAAACCCAACCTTAAAATTGGGTAATTTATTGAAGCGAGTGAAAAAAAAAAATCAATAATTGGAAATGTTTTTTCACCAACTGCTTATAACTCAGAGTAGGAGAACATAACCTTATTGAGTTATTTTTGTGTTTTTATCAAATTCAAGAAAAAAAGGGGGAAATAATTTTGAAAGTAAAATTAATATATTAGAAAAAACAAATGTTCACCCTGATAGCAAAAACTGATGTTATGTGAGGATGAAGACAAAGTTTTGAGAGAAAATACTTAAAATAAATAAATATAAAATGACATTTGGAAAATGACTTACAAAGAAAAAACAGCTTGCTTGAAAATATGTTTTTACGAGTATTGTTTTTCTGCAATCAGAGTGAAAAAAAGATTTCTCTGTCAAATCTCTTTTCTCTCTGTCTCAAAACTTTTCAGGAAAGTATTTCAGGATATGTCTCCTAGTGAAAGGTGTGTGATGGACAGGCCTGTGTTCCTATTGGTCAGACTCCTTAGTGGTCATATTAGCTGCAAAGGTGGTTACGCCTTAATATTCACGAGGAAACTCTCACTCGCCCAGACTGCCTCGCTCCACCAGCAGGTGTGTTCCAGTTTCACAACACCTCGCCTGGAATGTGGATCATAGCTTACGGCTTGTTGCTTTTCTAAGTGTTTTATTGTGAATTTTCCACTGGGAAGTTTTATAAGACAAATACGATGCCAGCCATCTTGTTCAGTTGCAGACAGTTCTGGAAAGCTTCACAACAGACTTTTAACCCCACCCATTAAGCATAGCCATAAGATCACATTCAACTTAAACACACCTAATATCACCACTCAGCTGACAATTCTGTTGAAATTGACCAATAGGAACACAGGCCAGCCCATGACACATTTTTCACATTGAGAGAAAAATCCTCAATCAAGTGCAAAGACTTTGGTTTTGAGAGAGAAGAAACAAGCTTTGAAAGAAATATATTTTTAAGAAATAATATTTTTACTCGTACTCGTCGTCTCCCGCTTTATCCGGAACCGGGTCGCGGGGGCAGCAGGCTAAGCAGAGACTCCCAGACTTCCCTCTCCGCAGACACCTCCTCCAGCTCTGTTGGGGGAAGCCCTAGGCGCTCCCAGGCCAGCCGAGAGACATAGTCTCTCCAGCGTGTCCTGGGTCGTCCCCTGGGCCTCCTCCCGGTGGGACATGCCTGGAACACCTCCCGAGGGAGGCGTCCAGGGGGCATCCGAAGAAGATGTCCGAGCCACCTCAACTGACTCCTCTCGATGTGGAGGAGAACCGGCTCTACACTGAGCCTCTCCCGAATGACCGAGCTCCTCACCCTATCTCTAAGGGAGAGCCCAGCCACCCTGCGGAGAAAGCTCATTTCAGCCGCTTGTATCCGGGATCTCGTTCTTTCGGTCATGATCCAAATTTCATGACCATAGGTGAGGGTAGGAACGTAGACCGACCGGTAAATTGAGAGCTTTGCCTTTTCGCTCAGCTCTCTCTTCACCAGGACAGACCGGTGCAGCGTCCGCATTATTGCAGCAGCCGCACCGATCCGTCTATCGATCTCCCGCTCCATTCTTCCCTCACTCGTGAACAGGACTCCAAGATACTTGAACTCCTCCACTTGAGGCAAGGACTCCCCTCCAACCCGAAGGGGACAAGCCACCTTTTTCCGGTCGAGAACCATGGCCTCGGATTTGGAGGAGCTGATTCTCATCCCGGCCGCTTCACACTCGGCTGCGAACCGCCCCAGCGCACGCTGTAGGTCTTGGCAGGAGGGAGCCAGCAGAACTACGTCATCCGCAAAAAGCAGGGACGAGATCCGCTGTTCCCCAAACCAGACCCCCTCCGGTCCTTGGCTGCACCTAGAAATCCTGTCCATAAAAGTTATGAACAGGACCGGTGACAGAGGGCAGCCCTGTCGGAGTCCAACATGCACCGGGAACAGGTCCGACTTAATGCCGGCAATGCGAACCAGACTCCTGCTCCGCTTGTACAGAGAACGGATGGCCCCTAATAAAGGGCCCCTGACTCCATACTCCTGGAGCACCCCCCACAGGGCAGCACGAGGGACACGGTCGAATGCCTTCTCCAAGTCCACAAAACACATGTGGACTGGTTGGGCAAACTCCCATGAACCCTCAAGCACCCTACAGAGGGTGTAGAGCTGGTCCACCGTTAATATACCGTTAATAATATTTTTACCCAGCAAAAAATTAGAAAAATATATTCCAGTGTAAAACGTAAATTTTCAATTTGTTCAATGGAAAAATATTTTCTTTCAAAACTTTGTCTTCAGTCTCAAATAGCCAAAGTTTTTGCTATCAGTGTGAACATTTGTTCTCTCCAATATATTTATTTTACTTTCAAATTTATGTTCCCCTGTCAGATTGTTTTTTTTTCATGAGTTTAATGAAAACACAAAAATAACTCCATAAATATTAATTTATTTCAGTGTGATAATGAAGGCAGGCTTAAAAAAAATCTTTGGAATTTAATTTTGTGACACTTATTTGGCAGGAGGGCATAAAGGGAAAAAACTTTGTTGGTCCTGCCTGAGCAAACATTAACATGCAAAGTATGCTAAGCACTGCAGAAATTTTAAGTGCAACTGTGCTTTGGTCAATGGAGAGGTGAAGCAAAACAATAGCAAGGGATAATATATAAAATGTAGACGGTCGACACTCTTAGTCACTGTTATAAAGGATCTATGACGCTGTGGGCCTGTTCCTGTACAATAGGGCGTGAATACTTTGTAGAACAACTAAGATTATTAAATAATACATTCCAGATAGAAATTAGGTGATCAACAATCTTGATGGGCACACAATGAGTCCTCTATGAGCATAATGCTATAAAATGTTCAAAAATCGACATAGATATTGCTGACTAAGTCGGGTACACAGGAGTTTTTAAAAAATATAATTTGCAAACAATGGATTTGTAAATGCACCGAAATTAATAGTTGGATTCCTTGGTCATTTTAAGTGAGATAATGCTGTTGCAACAACAACAATAACTCATTCTTTCCAGGGCTTTTTAAATGCATCTTTAAAAAATGAGGCAGTAATCATTTACAGTGAAGAAAATAAGTAATTGAACACCCTGCTATTTTGCAAGTTCTCCTACTTAGAAAACGAGTATTTGAACACCTGTCTATCAGCTATAATTCTGACCTTCAAAGACCTGTTAGCCTGCCTTCAAAATGTCCACCTCTACTCAATTTATTAGCCTAAATTAGATGCACCTGTTTGAGGTCGTTAGCTGCATAAAGACACCTGTCCATCCCATATAATCAATAAGCTAAGCACCATGGGCGCCCGTGCCATCTGCTCTGCCACTCCTTGGACCTGGAATGCCCTCTCTGATCATCAGAGGGAACCACAGACTATCCACACTTTTAAAAAAGGATTAAAAACATTTATTTTTAGCAGAACCTCCGACTGTTCATCTTATATAATTATGCAACTGACTTATTTATTGATATTAATATTACAATGATGTTTAGTTTATTACTTTTTTTGCTTTTATCTTTCTGATGATGATTTTATCTTATGATGATTTTACCTGTAGCACTTTGAGATTTTTCTTAAATGTAAAGTGCATTACAAATAAATGTAATATTATTATTATTATTATCATTACAATCAGTGATCCAACTACTAACATGGCCAAGGTCAAAAAGCTGTCCAAAGACATTAGAGACAAAATTATACACCTCCACAAGGCTAGAAAGGGCTATGGGGAAATTGCTAAAGAGCTTGGTGAAAAAAAGTTCCACTATTGGAGCAATCATTAGAAAGTGGAAGGAGCTAAACATGACTGTCAATCTCCCGCCGACTAGGACTCAATGCATGTTCTCACCTCCTGGGGTACCAATGATCCTAAGAAAAGTGAGTAATCAGCCTAGAACTACACGGGAGGAGCTGGTCAATGACCTGAAAAGAGCTAGGACCACCGTTTCCATGGTTAAAGTTGGTATTACAGTAAGATGTCATGGTTTTAAATCATGCATGGCATGGAAGGTTACCCTGCTTAAACCAGCACATGTCAAAGGCCATCGTAAGTTTACCAATGACCATTTGGATGATCCAGAGGAATCATGGGAGAAAGTCATGTGGTCAGATGAGAATAAATTAGAACTTTTTGGTCATAATTCCACTAATTCTACTGTTTGGAGGAAGAAGAATGATGAGTACCATCCCAAGAACACCATCACTATTGTGAAGCACAGAGGTGGTAGCATCATCCTTTGGGGGTGTTTTTCTGCATATGGGAGAGGGCAACTGCACTGTATGCCCGAGGCCATGTATTGTTAGAATTTGGGGATCAACCTCCTTCCCTAAGTTAGAGCATTGAAGATGGGTCGAGGCTGGGTCTTCCAACATGACAGTGACCCGAAGCACACAGCCAGGATAACCAAGGAGTATCTCTGTAAGAAGCATATTAAGGTTCTGGCCTAGTCTAGCCAGTCTCCAGACCTAAACCCAATAGGGAATCTTTGGAAGGAGCTTAAATTCCGTGTTTCTTAGCGACAGCCCAGAATGTACAGGAAACGTTTGACCCTTGGAATTGCAAACAAATATTAACATTGATTTTCTCAGGTGTTCAAATACTTATTTGCAGCTGCATAAAACATTGGATTTTTCTTTTTTAGATTATGTCAATCACAGCAGAAATGCACCTACGATAACAATTTCAGACCCCTCAATGGTTTTTAAGTGGGAGAACTTGCAAAATAACAGGGTTCAAATACTTATTTTCATCACTGTACATATTATAAAACAGCTAAAAAATCTTTTAGATGATTTTCCAAAACAACTGTAATAGTCTCAGTATGCTGGTAAAGGTTCTCAGTCATCCAGGTCATATTCATTCCAAAAAGTTAAAAAACAAACACAGGGCAACGGAAGACCCCTGCCTATTCAGCCAGGCCAACAATTCCCTTTAACGATAGCCCTTTCAGAGACATAGACAGGTATGGGGCTTTGCTGGCTAACAAAAGAAGCCAAACGACCCCCATTCCAAAGGATGGCACGTTCGACCGTTTAAATTTTCATGTTGTCTAAGCAAAAACAAAGCTTTGTTGGGCTTCTGTATAAAGCAACTCCAAGCTATTTCTGACATTTTAATTGAAAAAGCTTCCTGGATGGAAAGCGAAACGTATTTAAACTTGGAAACAACAACAAGTGCAGTGATTTGTTTTTGTTTTTTTACTTTTTTGGAATAGTCTCTGTAGTACAATAAGAATATGCGCATTAAAATGCTCATATAAAAGTGTGAGCATTTTTAAAACAATTAAGCCTTGTGCTGACTATGTAAGACTCAGAAAATTAAAGCTGATTTCCCTGGATGGCTCTGGTCTATTAGAGTTCCCTATTCCATCTCCGCTCAAGACTCCCCTGCTCATGTCTAATGAGTTTTGGCTCGGAGGTTGTTTGGGTCGTTAGGTTTAACAGGAACTGACATGTAAAGATGCACGCACACTCGCTCACAAGTGCCAAGTCATCCAATCACAGCATATAATGGGGACATTTTAAAATTGCGTTAGTACTTGACATACCTGCTTTGTGGACTTTGTGAATCTGTTTGAACATAGTTTTGTACCAATCCTTTGGCCTATCAACTGTCTGTGGACAAACAAAAGAAGACATATCTTACAAACTATTATGACATGGAAATGCAAGCTTTAAAGGTTAAAAAAGAAACAGACTTGTTTACAACAGAATTCCAGTTACCATAACTATCTCAGTCTAAATGCTCAGCCAGTTCAGGCTTTTAAATTGCACTCTGGCCAAAAGCATACCAACAGATAGATAAAACATTCAGAAGATTTAATGATCTCATGCTGGGGTTAAAGAAAATACTGCACTCAGTTGTGTCATATTTAATAACTTAGTGCTGAAGAGAGAAGTTAAAGGACTCTGACTTTAACATTTTCTTCAATTTTGTATATCCTCAGCTAAGAAACTAATCTATTTATTTAATCTATTTATATTTATCTAACTTAAACGTGTTTAGGTAATTTCTAAAATATGACCATATCACTTTCTTTTACAGTACATCAATAAACATGTAATGACATGGTAATAACATAGCAAGTTACACCATATTTCTAGGTTACAAGAAAAACTATGAAGAATATTGGTAAATGATTTGATTAAAATTTTAGGCAGACAAGGTAAAGTCCTATATTTCAAACTCTTATTAGCAAGTAACTCATTTCACCGACAGTAAAACATTTATGTGTTATTATCTAGTAAAATGCAGTTTATTATTTGACATATATTAAAAAAAAAAAAACTAAAGGAAAGCAAGGCAATCATCTTAACTAAACTATTATCTATATGTACATGGAGTTTAGTCATATAATGCTTTATTTACCTGATCATAAGTTACATTTTACTTTGTAAGCCGTAGGTAGGTGGTGGCCAATAATACAAACCTTTGTAGTAACCTAATGGTAATTACCCACCAAAAGTCTACATTGTTCTACAATTGCAATAATTACATGCAGTTCCTTACTTTAAACTTATATACCTTTAATTTGGGGCAATTGCCAAATAAAGTGTTTCTTGTTACCTAGTAATATAGTGTAACTTGTTTTGTTATTACCATTTTATTACATGGTTATTGATGCACTGTAAAATAAAGCATTAACAAATATGATACATTTATATATAAAAAATTAGAAAATATAGGAAAGGGTGTGAAAGCAGCAACATATTTAATATAAATTTTAGTTTTACATTTGTGAACTAAAACTTGCTATAATCAAGGATGAAAGTTTGTTTGTTAATTTGATGATAAGAAAACAGAGGGGTAAAAACTGATCAATGATTCAAACTGATACCAATTGGCTCTAAATAATGTTATTTTACCACTTATACAGTATAGCTACGCATAAATATTGTTTTATAAATGTAACAAAATTGAGTGACACAGTTTTTTTTGCGCAGTAGACTAAAACCACAGAAGCTATGTTGATACATAAGCAAAGAAAGCGTTTGTGTTGCTGTGCCAAGAAGCCACAGGAGAAATGCTTGTCTTTGTGTAAACACTATAGATCCAACAGCCACTTCAAATAAGAGCTATCAAATGGCAGAGGGACTTAATCCTTCCGTTATTCAGATGCACTGAGCCCTAGTTCTGGATTCTGGAGGCTGTGCACGCAGAATTGGCAGAGACAAGAAACAGACCAATTAAAGCATCATTCTCCATGGTTACCAAACAGAGTGGCCACAAAAATGTCTGCTTGCTCACAATAAGGAGCATCTTTTTTCCCCCCTCTTTTATACCAACTGCTCTGCTTATTTTCCTCATTTCTTTCCGGTCCCTTTTCTTTCTCCAGCATGTCTACCGTGAATGCATCCTCTCAAGAAACAGACAACTGAGTGAAGCATTAGTGCAAGAAAGGTCTGAGCAGAGATAACACAGATTAAGCTCGTCTTCACAACTAGCACGAAAAGGAAGAGTCAAACAGACACTTAAATAGAGAAGGCTTTTAACATGGGATCAGAAGCTGCTGACAGCTGACAGTAATTCTCTCCATTACAACTAATTACATTCAGTCACATATGAAGTCAGTCTCCAATGTGTCATTTGTCGTACTCCTCTGTGGCTATCTAAAACAGGGTTTTGGATCTTTGGATTTGCAACCTCACCGTGCGAATGGCAATGGGGATGCCTGACTCATCCACAGGCCCGATGCCTTCGTAATGTGGGGCTTTAACGATGGACACCTTCCTTTCTTCCTCTGAGAAGCGAGCAATGGGCACTGTACTGCTGATGCTGGTGTGGCCTGAAACCACAGACTCTCTGGTGACCGACTCACTGCCCTCTAGCAACATAAACAGAAAGGAGAAGAGCACATAGGTTTATCTTTGCTGAAGTAAAAATATCTTATTTTCTTGCTTAATAAATTACATTTTGATAGGTATCATTTATATTTTCTTTAATCTTTACTGGCTCAAATTATTCCCACAGATATGAGTGCAGAAGATGATAAATGTTTTAATTTTTTCAAGGGATCAAGATCTTTAAGAATATTAATTTCTTTCTGTAAAGGTTTTAATTTTGATTTAAGTATCATGCACGCATTCAAAGCCAGGGGTCTCAACAATATTCCATAATGGTTCATGTCTTCACCTGGGAGGATTAAAAACCTATTAACTTGTCATTTGCGATTGCGAATGGCTGCAGCTGCTACTGTAGCTTCTCTCTGTGGCATAAACAGGGTTCATTAGACTGATGGACTGATAGGTCACGATCAAAAAAGGAAAGCCCGTTCTAGAGGTCCTAATGGAGATTGTGGGTGCCTACAGGGTGAAGTCAAATGCTTTCTAGATAAAGGCTTTTCTAGTCAACTAGAAAAGAGGGAGCTATGCAGGAACAGTAATACATTTGTTTAGATGATTGAGAGCGAGGAGTTCAAGCCAATGAATACTTAACTGTAAAGTATGTGGGGAGCAGCATTATTCAATACAGCTGTTTTTTTTTTGTCAAACTGGTGGATTGAACAAAGTTGATGAAATAATGGGGAAGCAATCCAGCTTTAAATTCATCAACTTTGCTTCAACTATTAAGAGTCACAATAAGTTCAAGAATAGGACAATGTTCCAAATGTTGACCACAGGTGGTTTTGGAATAAATAACACAAGCTCACATCAGGTTTATGTGATGACTTTTCCAAAAATCCTGACCTTAACCTTATTAAAATGTGCAGGTTATACTAAATTAAACTGTTCCTTCCAAGAAAATCAGCTATGGGAACAAAATGTGTATTCAAGAATTTATTGGTTTTTGAACAAGGTTTTACCCAATATGTGTTTAGAAGTATATTAATTCACATAATGTATACTTTTGACCTTGAAGGGGTTAATGAAAATCAACAAAGAGTTTTTTTGTTTTTTTTGTCTCGTTCTATTTCCGACTTATAACAATAGATAATAGTGTAATAATAATAATAATAATAGTGTTAGGCTGCCGTCATTACTCCAGACCTGAGAGTAGGGATTTAGGGGCATCTAGTTTCATTTAGGTGAGTTGATCAAACGCATAAACAAACCTGAAAAAAAAAGTAATCACTCACCTGAGCTTCTGTTCTGTTTGTGGAGCCCTGTGTGGAGTGAGGGAGGTGGAGGGGGGTATGATGGCGGGGACATGGGCCTCTGTGGATGGCTAGTACTTCCATTGATTGCATGAGAAAGAACTTGGCCCTAGGAGTGACCCAAAAGCCAGAAAAAGACACATTTTTCAGTAAAAACTTGTTATGAATAAGCTTGTAGATTCATAAAGTTTAAAATACAGATAATTTCTAAAGAGAAGAAAAATGTGTTACACAGGTAAAGTTGGACATATCACAATAAAAACATTTAGATATATTCATACAAATAAATAAGTCAGAGACTGTTTTGTTAGATGGGGAATTCTGGTTTTACCGATTATTAAATAGGAATAATAAAAACACATACAGTGAACAAACACAGCTCATTCACAAACATGTTGGTATTATTTAGTTAATGTAAGCAGGACAGAAGAATGGGAGGCTTTGCTTAAAAAAAGAATGGTCAAAAGTGCTGTCCCATTCAAAAAGCTTTGAAAGTAAATATTTATCAGGACGAAGACAAAATAGTTAAAAGTAAGATGTGATGAGACAGGTGAGTCAAAGCTTCCAAATCAAGAATGGATAAGTCAGGTTCAACCGAGCCTACTTCAGTTTTATGAATCCTGTTCATCTGCAGAGCTAAATACACAACCAATGTGAATATTCTCATTTTAATACACTGAGAGATTTTAAAACCACTAACAGAATTGAACGTTATTGCATAATGTAACAATGGGCTAAAACTACGTAAATCTAAATTCTTGGCGAATAGAAAAAGCAGTAGAGCAAGAATAAATATGACAGTCAAATGTCGATGACTGCTACATACTGAGCCCTCCTCATGTATTGGCATCCCTAAATACATTGATTTAAACCCAACTTAGCTTTTTTTGCATCAGCTTGCTATAACGGTACACTCAACAGTGGGCCAACATTAAGTAGCAGATTTTTGTCTCAAACACCTCCTTTAAAATCTGCATAACTAAAATTCTGGTCTGCATCTAGAACTTTTGTCACAGTTCCAGTTGTTTTAAAATATTAAGCATTGCCTTGACTATAGATATGGGCAAGTCTACATTGGCACAATAAAATGTTTAATAATTTCTTTAATAAATATTGTAGAGATATCCTTTCTAGTTGTTGCACTTAATGAGGGCAAACAATTTTATTTTTTTAATTTTTAAGGATTTTGTTATACAAACATTTCCAGTATATTTACATACATGACAATGTAATCAATAAATATACGGACATAAGGAATAGAAGCCTTGAGAAAAAGAGCTATGTGATTAATGTCATGGCTAAGGCAAAAAAAAAAACTGCACAGGCTGTTAAAAAAAGCTTAAATAAAGTACTTCAATTTCTTACAGCTTGGTAGGAAAGGTCAATGTGAAACAATTATTGTTATGATGTTGCCTTCAAATTGACATTCTAATATTTTTAATCTGAGCTCTTCTTAAAAATCGTTAGGAATTTTAACTCTGAGAGAAAAATGTATTTATAAATTTGAATAACAGAATAACACAACGTCCCATCAGAAGGAATGGGAATCAGAAGGTTACATTTTCACTAAGTAATTTCATACCAAGGGCAACAATTCTGTTGGGTGATTTATCTCCAGGTTTGAAAACCTGCCAGCTGTAGTCACCACATAGTTAATCATCACATCATAGTTATCTGCTGTGTTTACAAGCAGGAACCAATTCTCCAAAAAATTACAAAAGCATCTACTTCTGGATCTCCTTGTGTTCCTATGTTGCTGCTATTATTGCAAAACAAATTTTTTTCAGGCTTTCGGAGGAACAAAATAGAAAAACATTTTATTTATTTTTTTTCCACTGAAAAAGCAGTTCTAAATTAGCCCTTGCATCTAGAAAGTAAAGTATATATCAGCACAATGATCATTTTAAGTAATTTGCCATTGGATCTCCAATAAAAACATGCAATAAATGACTAAAACTCATGTCACTGAAATCTGCTGTCACCGGTCAGGCAATTCAGCATTCCGGTTTCTTCTATGCTTCAGTAGTCACATGATCTAATACCAATAGTTAGAAATAAACAAAATCAAAAATATATCTGAAAGCAAAGCTTTGATTTTACACTATTAATGGGAGGGGGTCATTTTGACCCTTTATCTTTCGGCAGAGATGCTTGACATGGCATGTTTCCTACAGATTATGGGTCACTTCATAAACACCTATTTCACTCTAACTCTTAAGATGTGAAATGTGATTTGTGCACATTTACTCCCATATAAGTTGATATATTTTCCTTTGCAGGGAAACATTGAAGTTTGGTGAGCATATACAGAAGAAGACACAAGGTTATGGGATAAGCAGAAGGATTTTTCCACCCTGAAATACATAAAAAAGAAAGCAGGAAAAGCAACAAGACAGGATGCTGAAGCTGACATTAGCTAAAGCTGACATGAAAAAATCCATTAATGAAATAACAGGGAATTAGATATTGAAGTCTGACAGATGAGGAGCAGTTAATGGTTAGTGAGATTAAATTAATAAAAATAAAAACATAGTAATCCAACATATTGTGTAGTTTAGCCATTAAAATGATTAGGTGGGAGAGAAGCAACATTATCTTTTATGTAAATAATGAAATGTTACAAAGGTGGCTTGTTCAGATAATTACATTAGTGACAGTGGCTGCTGCAGCAGTAGAGCCCACAGAGGTTGTTAGCACATCATCAGGCCCAGCAGTGGATATGTAGGTAGAGACAAGGCTGAGCGTAGGCGAAGGCGTTGGGGAGGCACCAGGTGAGTCCAGGCTACAGATCTGAAGCTCATCAAGCAGACCTGCTGTGGATGATGAGTAGTGGCTGAGCGCTGACACTGTCACGGGGGAAGTCGCCGGTGACACACAGCTACCAGTGCTCATGTTGCTGAAAGCTGTGATGCTCTGCCCACTGATTGTTCCAGCTTTCATAACAGCTCCGCTGGGAACATACGGAGTGGGTGACGATAAGGCCTTGGGCATTAAGCTTGACTGGTAGTCGAGAGACTCGGAGCTCTGGCAGCGAAAGGGGGAGTGCCGTGCTGAAGGGTCAGGGGAAGGAGGCCCCTGGTGTTGGAGTAAGAGGAAATTTGTGGGAGAGGGAGGAAAGGAGGCGAGTGCTTAGTTACATCACTTATTAGCTTGAGTGTCAAAAAGGGTGGAGCGAAAACAACATTTAAGGTTGGCAGATGGGGAATTCAAGCTGCAGCAACATGTTTAAAAAACAAAAAAATGCTGTACATTCAAGACGTATCATTAGTATGAGTTTTTGCACAAGACGACAAATTATTCTTCAATTTAATGAGACAAATATGTATATTTGGTTAATAACAGACGTACAATAAACATGATTAAGAATCACAGTATAGTTGGTCGAATGGAAGCACCAACACAACACAATTAAAAAGCAGAAAACACAAGTTGCATACAAACCAAATTGAAATACAGGATAGCTACCTAGTGATGTCCTGATAAGCTGCACCTTTTTTTTCTCCATCTCTGTCATCCAGTAAGACAGGCTCTTTGATTAGACATCTCCAAACAGCTTTTTGTTTAAGTCGTATTAAATTACCTTGATCCATTCAGCTATAATTTTTAAGACATCGCCTTAGATTATTTCAGCTACATTCTCTCCCAAGCTGAGCCATATTGGAGTAAAATGTTGTAGCTTTTGAATGTAGGAAGTTCATGGACACGGTGCGGCCCACAACATCATGGGCAATGGTAGGAACTTTGAATATAAATAGTAACTATTAATGCTCACTAGTTACTTTCCCCAAAAGTAATGGAATCAATTACTCAGTTACTGCACAATTAGGGTAACTAGTTGCTAGGTAAAGTAACAATGCAGTTACTTTATATCATTTAAAATTATCAAACTGTTATTGGAACTATATGATCGGGCATTTTATTACAAAACAAAGTTGTTTGAAATGATCTAATAAATCAAATAAGAGATGGTAGGGCTGGGCGATATAGAAAAAAAGCTTATCGATAAAAAAAATGCATATTGATCGATATCGATAATTATTGAAAAGATTTGAAACCATATTTTATGTGCAGCTCTGCCTGGACATTTTATGATATTGCTAAATGATTTAATTTTAATAAAGAACACAAACACAGACTTCCAATTAAGTCTTTATTTAACCATAACAGAATTGTTTTAAAGAAAAATAACTTAAGAGACCTGAGTTATGTTATTAAATACTGACAAAGAATAAACTAAAGTGACCAGAAAAGTAAATAAATATAACAAATAAATAAATGGAACCCCCCCACCCCCGACCCCCGCCACCGCCGCCCCCATTCTTCTGAGTTATTACTTTGAAGTTGCTGGCCCTTCAGCATTTTTCTCTCAATTGTTAGAACTACGTGGGAAACTGCCCAGAACTGAATGAATATATACATATTTTCCCGAAATTCTCGAAGATTCCTCGGAGGAGAGCCGCGCCGTGGCCTACACAGCTCGTACTCCTGCGGGTGTGAGCGGCTGAGATGATAAAAAAAAGTTGGTTGTGTTTTCAGACTTCGTTTTCACTGGTTCCCTACACATTTTACAGATGACTGTGGTTTGTTTTTTGTCTGACTTGCCATAACTGAAATACTGCCAAACTGGCGAACTACAAAAACCTTCTTTGGAACAATTTCCTCCGCCTCTCCTTGCTGCAACATCTTCATGTGCTCTGTGTTGTGGTTTGAGAGGGCGGCGCTTGGTGACTAAGGTGACCAGATTTCTGAAATCAAATCTGGGGACATTTCTTGCTCGTGGATAAAAATCAATACATCTTATCGAGATGAAATTAGGAAACGGGGACAGTAATGGTTTCATATATTTTTACATATTTATTAATATTTAAACAACAAAAATCAAGTGTAAAAGCCAGGAATGTGCCTTTCCAAACGTTTAGTATATCCTAAGATGAATAACATGAAGTGTTATTAGTAGAAAACTAGAACTGTGTCTCTGGGTTGGGGCAAAGTGGTGGGGGTGGGAGCGGAGGGGTCAAGGGTCATTAGCAGGGCTTTCCAATTTTGGGGGCCCAATGAGCTCTGCCGCCTCCTAAGGGGAGAGTGACATGAGGAAAAGAAATTTAGAAAAGTAAATACAAACATTTATTCTATGCCTGTGGCTGTCTGTTGAGACAGAGTTTCCCCACCTCTTCAAAAAAGTGCAACAAATACTTATTCTGTTTACATCTACTGTACATACCTATAAGAAATATTTTTTTTCTTCATTAACATAAAAAAAACAAGTAGTAGTCAAGCCTGCAGGTAAAGGTTCATATATGTTTCTTACTGTCACCTAGCCAGATCAATTCAATTCAATTCAGTTTATTTATATAGCGCCAAATTCACAACACATGTCATCTCAAGGCACTTTACAGTTCAACCAGATCATCCAGTCAAATCGATACAAAGTTTTCTATCTAAGGAAAACCAGTTGATTGCATCGACTCATTGACTCTTCAGCAATCCCTCACACTAAGCATGCTTGTAGCGACAGCGGAGAGGAAAAACTCCCTTTGAACAGGAAGAAACCTCCAGCAGAACCAGGCTCAGTGTGAGCGGCCATCTGCTGAGGCCCACTGGGGTTCAAGGAGACAGAAGCAGACATAGAAAAAGCAGCTGTAAAAGGCGGCCCCGTCCAGGAAACACACAGCCAGGCAGACGAGCTCTGAGCCAGCTCCCATGCCAGAGGACGAAGAGAGCACATCCAGTTAGTCACAGGACCACACTGGAAAACAGGCCGATCTCCAACATCTATAAACAAAGGTGTTGATGGCAGCAGCACAGCTGATGTTTCTTTCCAGGATGGAGTCACAGCCAAACAGGAACAGACGAGGCAAAGCTACTCTGAGGAAAAGCAGAGAGAGCAGAACGTTAGAGATTGAACTAACAGATTCTGCAGAATAGGAGAACAGAGATAGAATGAAGCAGAATGATGAAAAAGGGGTCCCTATGTCCTCCAGCAGTCTAAGCCTATAGCAGCAGAACTATAGAGATAGATCAGGATAACCTGAGCCACTCTAACTAGAAGCTTTATCAAAAAGGAAAGTTTTAAGCCTAGCCTTAAAAGTAGACAGGGTGTCTGCCTCACGGACTAAAACTGGTAGTTGGTTCCCCATCAGGGGCCTGTGTGTCTCAAAGTAGCAGGTTCATTTTTCCTACTAACCTGAGTATACAGCCACTCTGTGTTCCACAGCATACTTTGCACACTACATCACTCAATATGTTAGTTTATCACTCAAATCATGTCAACGCTTTATCACTTGAACTTTATTAATACATATTATACATTTTAAATGTTTGAAACAGAAATATTAACTGAACAGGGTCTGAGGCAGTGGCCCTGGTAATTTGGGTAAAATAATATAAGAGAAGACATAGCAAGTAAAAAGCAAAATAACCTTTTTAAATGTCTTAAACAAGTTTAACCATTGAACAGCAGAATAGGCTTAACATCAACACAATGTATATAATCCAAGAATAGTCCATATTTATAAACAGCAATAACATATACATATATAATTTCCTTCTTTTCACAGCTTCTGTATTGTGCATTAAGGCTTCCTCTTATGTTTCCTGCTCTCTGCTTTACTCCTCAAAGTAAATTTTTCTCCCTTCTTGTCAACCGTTTTTTCTATCAGAGTTCCTAGTTTCCTCCTCTCTCATTCAATCTCCTTTCTGTCTTTCTATCTTCTTCCTCACTCCTCCAGCATCAATCTTACATTATTCTAAAACAGAGACATTATATAATCAAAATCACCTCCAAAAAAATTAGGATGTGCAACATGAAAACTTATTATTAATATCTCATCTAAATACTAAAAATGCTAATTACCACAATATTAGGAGCTACAAGCAAAAACCACATAATAAATGGACATTAAACAGGTGGTTACCTCTATCATTCTCAGATCATGTAGATCTTGTCTTATTCAGTTCTCCTGTTACTGACTCCTATTTTTTCACAAGGAACTTTCATATATATCCAAACTGAGCAGTAAAAAAGCACACCAAAAACTGGAAGTCTATGCTCATAAATCACAACCATAAATCATCAAAACAAATTGAAATAACTCTACTTATAATAACTATCTGAAATATAAACTAAAGGTCACCTATCCATTCTAAAACATCTTTATACAAACCCTTGTTGATCCCTGGAGAACCAGCGTACCAGATTAGCGCCTTACAAGGAGTTTTCAATCATTTTGCTACATTTTAACCCAGCGTCTTTTACTCATGCTCAACTCGTGGTCTCGTCTTACTTTTTATTACTGTTTTAACCTGGACACAAACCAAACATTCATCACAAGATCAGCCCGATCAGAATAAAATTAATTGATTAACACACTTACCATCATTCAGCGTAGCTCCCCATCAGTTGCCACAGGTTGTAAAAAACGAACTTCCACTTCTTCTTCTTCTTCTGTTTTAAAAGTGATGCGCTCTTCTTCCTCTTTGTCTTTTAATGGCAGCTGACATCCAAAAGGATCATTACCTCCCTTATTGTGGGGCGCTCTGTTCCTTATCTTTATGTTATCAGCTGCGCAACCAGCTACCGTAATACCTATTTTTGCGCGCAACAGCTCTACCGTAATAACAGTCTACGCGCAACATTTTTCGCCTCGGTAAAATCGGGGACATTTCCGGGGACAGCTTTAGCCGGGGACAGGTGGTCCAAAACAGGGACAGTCCCCGGAAATCGGGGACGTCTGGTCACCCTATTGGTGACGGCGTGCCTGGGTCCGCGAATGTGATTGGTTGGGAGGAAGTAGTGAGTAGCATAAACCTACATGCTAGGCTACAATGAGAAGGAAGGAAAACTGGTTTTCTTTATCGAACTTTTATCGACTCTCTTTTTTTCTATTGCGCCACACGTCTATCGATCGATATATATCGTTATTGAATTATCGCCCAGCCCTAAGAGATCAATTATTAAAAATGATGACATACCTAAAAAGGATCCATGTTAATCTACACCATTTTGGTTTGCATGGTGACATAAGTTTGTTGAGACACTCATGGCGATATATTTATGTAAATATGATTATTATGTTTAATGTTTAGGATAAAATGACTATAAAGCCTATTAGATGATTTAGAACTCAATATATTTCTGCATTGGAAATGTTTAACTTGCAGTTAGATATGTATAAAGCTAAAAATAATGCTTTTTAAATAATCTAACAAAAATGTACTTTGTAATGATTTGATGAATGTTAGGCACAAGAGAACCAAATTGGGACACCCCTTCTTCTAGCACCAACACTGTTAATGTTTCACATAGTATATTTTTGCAAATTCAACTAATGCAACAAGTGTGTAGCCTTTTAGTCACTCTTGGTGCTACCAAGTCCAAACACTGCAAAGACCAATAAGCAAACAGTATGCGTCTTTCTCTTATTGCACTGGATAGTCAGGTATGTACCAATACTTGTGCAGGCGAAGGTCTTGGTGGAACTGTAGGAGGCTTTGTCATCTCTTGCGATGGAGCTTGAGTTGAAGTCTGATTTGGATCTTGATCAGGGACCGTTACCTCCACTCTTGGATTTGAAGCCAAATATTCTGGATTTTTTTGATTTTCTGCACCCAAGTGGACAGAAACTGAAGTCCTCTGTGATGGGGGATGGGAACGGTTTAAAAATGCTTGTGGAGGGGAAGATGGTGGAGGGGAGCTTGAGGCTTCGGTTTGATGGTTAAGGTGAGAAGGGGGGTCCGGGATAGTGACAGGGGTGAGTTTAAGTGAAGAAACCTTACGCCTCTGTGTGCTGTCAGTGGCAGATGCACTGAAGTTGCTAATGTCATTTGCAGCTGTGGACTGATTAACCTGTTGGAGTGAATTTGCACTTGTCTCTGAGTAAGAGTAAGAGGATGTGCTGCTAAGAGTGTAGGACTCTTTTAATAGTGCTTTGTCATTCTTAGTCAATGTTAGCATTCCAGGACTAAAGTCATTAGCCAGATCAACGACTGAATTGTAGTGTGGAGGATTGGTGCCAACAGGCAAGAGGTTAAAACTCTCTCTCCTGGGGGGGCGGCAGTGGTAAGGGACTAACATCCTTGTTAGCCAATCAGAAGCAGAAGCCATTGTAAGTTCAAACAAGTAGAAATAAGGAAGAAAACAAACATCAGCACAGAGATTCCATTATGAAGCTCTTTTAAGAATGTGTTCAAGAATACAAACACTTAGCAAAATCCCTTATTTCCAGCCATAATGACATTGACCAACAAATTACATAATTTTCACAATCCATAGAAAAAGATCAAATAATTTTATGTCACTCTAGAGTATGAGAAATGTACCTGTGGAGGAGACTTTTTGTCCTGTAGGTTGGGTCTGACACTCCGAAAGCCTTTAGCAGCAAGAGATGAATTACTGGCATCTCCATTCTTTAAACCATCAGTAGCACTGTGGGAACGCCAAGAACCTGCAGACCATAATAATATGTTTTGGAGGGTACTTGATTTAACACATTTCTCATTTAGTTAAGAGACATTTTACACCTTCTTTGGCTACGGTCATTGTGTTGTTTTTTTGTTGTTTTTTTTCTAAATGGTTGAGCAACTTACCAAAGTCTGATGAGTGAGAATCATTACCTGAAAAACAGAATAGCAAACATATTCAGAATTGCCTCTATGATTGCTATGTTGAATTATGTCTCTAAAACAGCTGATCATTATCACGTTACATAAAAAAAAAAATGTATTCGACCTAAAGAAGTAATAGCAAAAGAAGAATGTCTGTGAGGTAGAGAAGCAAAGTGGTGAAGAGGAAGATTTAATAAAAGAACAGACCAAAGGAAAAAAAAAAAAAACTTTTATATTACTCTTTATATCACCATTACTCTGTTTTCATAGAGAACAAGACGGCATTGATTATAAATCTAAAAAACAAGGAAAATGTTTAAATCTATTAGTCAAGAATTTATTTTAAAAGTGTTGTTTGTTTAAGGTATTATTTTGGGGGTCATTTTTTTTGCAGAAAAAAAACCTGAACAAAAGCTTACAACATAAAACCAGTGAGATTGAGCAAAATCTGTTATATCCAATGCATAAAGTGGAATTACGTGATACAACACATTTCATTTAAATAATGCATACAGTAATCACCTTAAATACAAGAGTACATTATAAAAGTACAAGGAAGGCAAGAGAAGAAATTGCATTGCATTTCTATTATTGAGGTACATAGATTTCAATGGATGTAAAACTAGAGATTTCACACAGAATCTTGTTTGACAATACATACTTTAGTTTCTCAACAAATATTAGTTATTTTCCTTTTTTTATTTTTTAGATTTATTAAAAAACAAGCAAACAAACAAATAAATACGGTGAATTAAATTTTGCACAAATAAATAAAATAGGCCCTCCCATGTCAAGATAAAGACCATAATACAATGTCAAAAATTAACCAGAATGTTGATAATCATTTCCTTATTTTTTAGGACCCTTGTTGTCCTTTAGCAGTGCAACATTATTAGCTTTTAGTCTAGTAAACAAAGAGTTAAAAAAAAAACAGTAACCCAAGTCATTCTAGAGCTCTAAGTAAACAGGACAAGATCAAATACTGTGCTTGAATTTGAAAGATAATTTCAATAATTTAAAAAATGTATTACTAGAAGATAAAAATCTATTTCAATAGTCTAACTGAATGTATATTTTGATCTCCTCATGTGGCCATAATAAACGGAATCTCTCCAGCTATATAAATAGTGTACCAAGTTAACACTTGGTCTGCTTTCAAATAGCAGTAACTATGATCTTAGCGTCGTACTACTTGGTGGGAGAAGCATGCACTTCTCCAGAAGGCCCTCAGGATCAGCAGTTTTTTTCAATGGGAGACTTGGGACAGTTTGAGATTTTTTGTAGCAGCAGTTCAAATGCAAAATATAACCACAAACCTATCAAAGACCATAAGCTAGTTCCATAGAAGGAGATAACAGATCATTGGTTTTATAAGGCACTTTTATAAATACCTGTTGTACAATTCAGGGATCCACATCAGGTGTTGGACATGCCTGGTTTGTAGATATAAATTACAAAATGGACACATTTTTTTTTTTTTTGAGGTTCACAACCTTTGTGACTTCACTGGATAAGGTGAATCAAGTTAAAATGATTCAACAGTTTACTCTGCTGGTGTTTTCAACTGCATAAAGAAACTTGCTACTAATAGCGAAGGTGGAGAACTTTTCCAAAGCTGACACGATACAATCATCTTTTTAGAAGTTGAGGATACTCTTTAGACTGCAAGTTTCTCTAAGAATGGGGAATTATATAACAACTGTTCTAATTCACACTTCGCTTCTAAGAAGTGAAGAGTGCATCCGTGAGCACACAAAGATAAATTAGGTACTCATTTCTGTTGAAACTACATGTTTTAACAAGTAAACAGACTATGACATTAGCAAAAATAAACATTGAGGAGAGATTAATCTCAATGTGAAAATTTTTGTAAACTTTAAAAATCAAACTAACATTGAATTCTAAAAATTTCAATTATAGCTCATTTATGTAGAAGGCCAAGAATGTAGATAAAAATAAATAAATAAATAAATAAAAAGAAATGCAAAACTGAACTAAATTTCACACACAAAAACATATGCCATCCAAAAAAAACTGTTTTACCACTCTATAGAGCCTTTTTCTTACAATGCAACATCTTAAGCATGTTATACTGCTCATCTATAGTTTCACTAGAATTATAATTTTGTAATGTTTTAAAAGCTAAAATCTGTGTGTTTGCCAGTGTTAGTACCTGTGGGCAGATTTGGGGAGCTCTGGACCCTCTTCATGGGAGAGAGTATGAGTGACAAAGCCACACTTTTGCGAGTATATCCTCCGCTATCTGAGATTTTCCAGCCAGGCCGGTGATCATTGAGGCATAAGCAGAAGCAGAAGCACACATGCACATGCACGATTGCAATAAAATCAACACACAAATACACGAATATGAACAGCGAAAATAAGCAGAGCAAAGCGCATGCATCTGAAAGGCTTACTTTATATTAAAGCACGCTAGTTGTTTGGTTCTGCATTAATTATAATTTTTTAATATTCAAGAGCCACTTGTTTGTTACATTCAGGGTGTATACAGGAGCTCTTACATTATATTTAATATCTTTTAACACCTTTTTAATACAATCAAAACATTTTTTAAAGCAAAGATGACTGTTAGCTGCAACTATGGTTCAATCTTTTCACCTATAATTGAAAGTGACTTATTATAAAGGTGCTAAACTGCAAATTTTTAGTTTAATGGTTGAAGTGTGTGAGTGTATTAATGCTTAAAATTCTATCAAAAACAATTATTCATATAAAATGATTGTGTACTTTTTGTCTCGATGTATGAAGCAATGGTTTGGTTTTTTAAACCTAAGAAAAGCAGTTTTAGTGCCATCTGAATGAAGAGAACACACTCTCTTATTACAGGGTTCCTACAGCATAAGGCAAGTTAAATTCAAGACTTTTTAATATTTTTTAATGCCACTTGAAATAAAAATTTAAGACCAAATTGACAAGAAACACAAGAAAAACCTGCTTGCGACAACTTAACCCAAAGGTTTATTATAACATAAACCACTGCACTAATGTTTCAAATTTTGAAAAGCTTCCCATACAGGAAGAAAGCTAAAAAAACACAGATGACAGATATATTTTAACAATTATTTAACTGAATTCACAAACTTTGTTTTAGCAAGGAACAAAACAAATCAGTTTTAAAGCCACAACTTAACCAGTGCTACTGTAAGTCTTTTTTGCATCTATTGTTCTTTGTATCGTTTTCTTGGTATGTTTGATTTGGTGATAAGTGGATGCGTTGCAGAGACAAGGGTGGAACAAAACTGAGAAATAGCGGCTGTTTCTCTGTAACTCGATTTTGACGCTTTATGTTTCACGCTTCGCATGTGACTCCACTGCCTTAATTCTCATCTTTCTGAGCTTGAATAGCTTCTTGCACAAAATACACTGTGCCTCATGTATGTTCCCTGGTACTGGTTTTAGCCATGGAGAAAACTCTTGGCTGGATAACCAATTTTGTTACTTTACACTTGCTCATATTTTCCAGACAAAAAGTAAATGGCGCATCTCCCAAATGTCGCGAACGCAACAACGCTTTTATTGGTTCTGCTATTGGGGCGGAACCAATAATGGCGAGCCATTATTTTTTTAAACAAAAAAAAAAAAGGTCAATTTTAACGTTTTATTTAGATTACAAAGATAAATCATAATGAAAATAATCCTATTTATGATGTTTTAAAAATTAAGACCTACGAAAGACTGGTTTAAGACATTTTAATACCAATTAAGGCCTTCATTTTCTTTTGAAGGATTCAATGCCTTTCAAGACTTTTTAAGGACCCGCGGGAACCCTGTATTACAGCCATCTCAATGAATCAAATGAAAAATGGAAAACAGAAAAGTTTAACAGAAATGTGCAAGTTAAGGAAATTAACATTTAACATGAGCACAACTCTAACAGAGGAAGTCCAAATTCCTGGACTAGCATTAAACTGTTCTTTAAACAACATTTTACTTTGTACAAAACTTAAAGCATTTGCTTTATGAAGGTAGTTTCAGCTTTCTTAAGTTCCTGAAAGTGTAAATAGCACACCCTTTTCAGCAAAACAAAGGTTAATGGTTAAAAAATTTTTTACTTGCCTTGCAACTGTTCATCTGTGTTTGAATCTGGTTCTCTCTGACCAAATGTCTGAAAAGGCTTTTATCTCAGATATATTTTTGGCATTAATCCAAGCAAGTCCCTAATCACTGATTGGTGGTTGACACAGTTTTAAAAAGTTATTCTTAAGCTAAACATAACTGGCTTTCTGTAACATAGTACATTTGCAAAAGAGCTTTGCAAAAAGTATTACTAATCAATAAGATGTTATTAATTTATTTATTGGCAAGAATATCTGATTTCAAAACAAGAAAATCTGACAATATAAATTAATCTTTTTGATTATACTTTGTCAAGCATAACATTGGTATGGAATGATAAAAAGATGAGTCTGCAATTTTTAAAGCTAATTTGAATGTCTTTGTGTCCATACCTGTATTCATATTGAAGAGGACTCCTTACTGATCTTCTGCAGGGGGGCACACTTCCCTGCAAAAAAAAAAAAGAAAATAAAATAAGTAAGGCTTTTAAAAAAAAAAGCCTTCTACCTCTTTTTACTTTGAAGTGTTAAAAAGCTGGACTCGTACCGACACACAGCCACAGTTAAAAATGTATTCTACAAGGCTAATGCAAAAAGTTTCTTTTTTATTTTAAAGATTTTAGCTTAAAATTGGGTTGGTCAAGGAAATTCACAAGCAGGCAGTTTCTGGTGACTTGCTTATTTCAAAAGACAAAAGCTACAATAACCACCAAACATCGATGTTCTGAAATATACTGTTCATAAATATACTTTGAACAAATATACTTTCAAACTTGAAATCGTTTGAACTGCAAAATATCAAGGGTTTGCTAATTAACCACAGAAATAGACATGAAAACCTTTTTTTTTCCATTTCTATTCCTTTGGTAAATTTTGTATTTGGTTAGACATTATCCACTTATACTGCTGTGACTTTAGTGCAAGCTTTTAGCTAGGAATATTTCATAGGCTGTATCACATGTTTAGGCTTTGTGCGGTGTTGGGGGGTCAAAAGGTTGAAATTTAGACTCTCTGAAACACTATTTCCTGCATTTTGAGGTGGAATGCAGCTAACTTTTGGTCTTTGTTCCAACACTACTTTTGTCCTGATTATGGGAAGTATGTGTGCCTGACTAGAGGTGGAAATTTCATAAGGAAAACATGAGATCATTTTTAGGTACAAGGTTATGTTTCATAAGTTAATTCAAACAATCAAAGTGTAGCTTAATGCTAAAGGTGAAACTTGATTGTTACATATACAACAAGTTGAAGAATGAAAAACTAAAAAACAATCTACAAATACTCCAACACAATCTGCAAACCAAAAGATGTGAAAGGACTGCTTTTATCTCCACGTATCTACTCTGCTTAGAAAGCAGCCAGAAACTTGATTGTCACATTTTCATGTATCTTAGTACACTTTGTAAATGTAAGCTGACGAGTTACACAAGCAGATGTGTTGCGCCAAGGGCAGTCATACCAATTGTAAATGTCAAAAGGGCAAAATAAGTGCACTTTTTATCCATTAACAACATCCATTTATCAATCTTTGGAGTATTGTCCCAAAGAAAAAACTAAAACAAAAAAATACAAAATAATCCACAAACAGAAAAAAGCCCAAATTGATAAAAAATATATATATACTACATGTAATGAAAACAGACCTGATCATGTACTTTTTATTGCTCAGTTGCAGGAGAAATAATCGTAATTCAAAGTTTTGGATACTAAGTGATGAAGTAGATGTTACACGCAATATTAAAAAGAATTGTGAAACCAAACACTAGAACAAAACACCTTTCAGTGTAGGTAATATAAAACCTGCTGCAAGGCCTTTTCAGCACAACCAATACACAAATACACTATATTGCCAAAAGTATTTGCTCACCCATCCAAATTATTGGAATCAGGTGTTCCAATCACTTCCATGGCCACAGGTGTATAAATTCAAGCACCTAGGCATGCAGACTGTTTTTACAAACATTTGTGAAAGAATGGGTCGCTCTCAGGAGCTCAGTGAATTCCAGCGTGGAACTGTGATAGGATGCCACCTGTGCAACAAATCCAGTCGTGAAATTTCCTCGCTCCTAAATATTCCACAGTCAACTGTCAGCTGTATTATAAGAAAATGGAAGTGTTTGGGAACGACAGCAACTCAGCCACGAAGAGGTAGGCCACGTAAACTGACGGAGCGGGGTCAGCGGATGCTGACGCGCATAGTGCGAAGAGGTCGCCAACTTTCTGCAGAGTCAATCACTACAGACCTCCAAACTTCATGTGGCCTTCAGATTAGCTCAAGAACAGTGCGCAGAGAGCTTCATGGAATGGGTTTCCATGGTCGAGCAGCTGCATCCAAGCCATACATCACCAAGTGCAATGCAAAGCGTCGGATGCGGTGGTGTAAAGCACGCCGCCACTGGACTCTAGAGCAGTGGAGACGCGTTCTCTAGAGTGACGAATCGCGCTTCTCCATCTGGCAATCTGATGGACGGGTCTGGGTTTGGCGGTTGCCAGGAGAACGTTACTTGTCTGACTGCATTGTGCCAAGTGTAAAGTTTGGTGGAGGGGGGATTATGGTGTGGGGTTGTTTTTCAGGAGCTGGGCTTGGCCCCTTAGTTCCAGTGAAAGGAACTCTGAATGCTTCAGCATACCAAGACATTTTGGACAATTCCATGCTCCCAACTTTGTGGGAACAGTTTGGAGCTGGCCCCTTCCTCTTCCAACATGACTGTGCACCAGTGCACAAAGCAAGGTCCATAAAGACATGGATGACAGAGTCTGGTGTGGATGAACTTGACTGGCCTGCACAGAGTCCTGACCTCAACCCGATAGAACACCTTTGGGATGAATTAGAGCGGAGACTGAGAGCCAGGCCTTCTCGTCCAACATCAGTGTGCGACCCCACAAATGCGCTTCTGGAAGAATGGTCAAAAATTCCCATAAACACACTCCTAAACCTTGTGGACAGCCTTCCCAGAAGAGTTGAAGCTGTTCTAGCTGCAAAGGGTGGACCGACGTCATATTGAACCCTATGGATTAGGAACGGGATGTCACTTAAGCTCATATGTGAGTCAAGGCAGGTGAGCAAATACTTTTGGCAATATAGTGTAACTCTATTGGCACTAATAAATGATGTCGATTACAATGTTTATCCAACTTAATCCATGCGTCCCTGGATCTATTAGCTATTTGGAGCCAATTTCCTTGAACTGCAGCTAATGACACATGGTTAATATGCACATTGTATACATCAAAAGCTAAAAGCAAGAACATGCATTGCATTACTCCCTGAGTACATAATACACTGTCATCATGGGACTTGGGGCCCATGGTGCAAACATGAAGTAACAAACTCTATTGGATGCCATAGAGCATGTGTTTTCATAAATAATGTTGACAGATTGCTGACACTGTATTACGCACAGGCAGACACACATACCAATGCAACATTTGTGGATAGTGTTATAAAAAGTTTTTTTAAAAGATAATTTGTATATGTTTGTGTATGTTCTCTAAAACATGAATGGTGGCTGCTAAATTACAGGGGGATATTGTAAGTTTTAAATTATATTGTGGAGAACTTTCTTTATATGTTTAGTCTGAGGTTGGACTTTTAAGCTGTAGTCAAGTACATTGTTTAAGTTTCTACAATCGGCACAAAATAAATACATGTGCATATTTCAATTGTGCCAATCTGTATAATAATGTTAGCACAATAAAGCGACTCCATCCAAACAAATAAAAAAGCAGTAGGGATTTTCTATTTCTACTGGAGACAAAAGCTATGCGATAATGACACGCTGCATTCTATAACATAGAATGACATGCATTTCCAGACATTTGGTGCAACTTTATAACACCCTGGGGCCTATTTTTCCATTGAAAAGTAAAGTGTTAACAACCATGGTTGTCACTGGAGCTTATTTTGGAAGAGGTATGTAAACACACCATGACATGAATGTATTGACCATTAGAAGAAGGCTTCAGTGATGAGTGACTCTGGATGAAAGGCAAATCATTCTTCATTTGATCTGAAAGACAACCTTCCAGGCTGAAATAAGACGACAGCTAGGGAAGGAGCAACTTCTGACATTTGTTTATTTCTACACAATATAATTACATTTTAATAACTTTTATAGTAAAACATTTGCTACTTTGAGACATTACTTCTGACCAAAATGTGACGATAAGTCTCCATAACATGGCTGCATAAACTTTTTTCTGCTGGGAAAATCTGATGTCTTTAGTTCTGATGTTGCTCTTCGGACACTTTAACAAAACCTGTTATTGCAAAAGCAGTTCCTCCACATACACTATATTGCCAAAAGTATTTGCTCACCTGCCTTGACTCACATATGAGCTTAAGTGACATCCCGTTCCTAATCCATAGGGTTCAATATGACGTCGGTCCACCCTTTGCAGCTAGAACAGCTTCAACTCTTCTGGGAAGGCTGTCCACAAGGTTTAGGAGTGTGTTTATGGGAATTTTTGACCATTCTTCCAGAAGCGCATTTGTGAGGTCGCACACTGATGTTGGACGAGAAGGCCTGGCTCTCAGTCTCCGCTCTAATTCATCCCAAAGGTGTTCTATCGGGTTGAGGTCAGGACTCTGTGCAGGCCAGTCAAGTTCATCCACACCAGACTCTGTCATCCATGTCTTTATGGACCTTGCTTTGTGCACTGGTGCACAGTCATGTTGGAAGAGGAAGGGGCCAGCTCCAAACTGTTCCCACAAAGTTGGGAGCATGGAATTGTCCAAAATGTCTTGGTATGCTGAAGCATTCAGAGTTCCTTTCACTGGAACTAAGGGGCCAAGCCCAGCTCCTGAAAAACAACCTCACACCATAATCCCCCCTCCACCAAACTTTACACTTGGCACAATGCAGTCAGACAAGTACCGTTCTCCTGGCAACCGCCAAACCCAGACCCGTCCATCAGATTGCCAGATGGAGAAGCGCGATTCGTCACTCCAGAGAACGCGTCTCCACTGCTCTAGAGTCCAGTGGCGGCGTGCTTTACACCACCGCACCCGACGCTTTGCATTGCACTTGGTGATGTATGGCTTGGATGCAGCTGCTCGACCATGGAAACCCATTCCATGAAGCTCTCTGCGCACTGTTCTTGAGCTAATCTGAAGGCCACATGAAGTTTGGAGGTCTGTAGTGATTGACTCTGCAGAAAGTTGGCGACCTCTTCGCACTATGCGCGTCAGCATCCGCTGACCCCGCTCCGTCAGTTTACGTGGCCTACCACTTCGTGGCTGAGTTGCTGTCGTTCCCAAACACTTCCATTTTCTTATAATACAGCTGACAGTTGACTGTGGAATATTTAGGAGCGAGGAAATTTCACGACTGGATTTGTTGCACAGGTGGCATCCTATCACAGTTCCACGCTGGAATTCACTGAGCTCCTGAGAGCGACCCATTCTTTCACAAATGTTTGTAAAAACAGTCTGCATGCCTAGGTGCTT